CAAACGTTGTACACTGACTTCCCGAACAGCGTTCGAAATAGCTACTGGCCCTCTAGCCAAATGCTAGGATTGTTCTATACCGGGCAAGTTATATATTGAATCTGAAAATCTCAGATAATTTGTCCTTTCATTAATGGCCAGTTATATATTGTTAAAGCTCCAAACAATATGTTTGGGCTCATGACTTAATCCCGTCATATTCGAACAAAAGAACATCAAAGATATCAAGCAGCAGCAGCAGCAGCAGCAGCAGCCGTCCTGCACCTCGCCCTCCTCCTCCTCCTCCACAGCAGCAGCAGCAGCAGCAGCAGCAGCAACAGCAGCAGCAGCAGCAACAACCACATTCATCAAGAGAAGTATTACCCAGTCATTGGAAGAATGTGGGCTGATTCACCCCTTCACCATGATCGTCTCAGGGCCCAGCCTCCTGTGGGAAAGAGCCTACTTAGTGGGGAAACAGATTCTAGAAAGGATGAACATTAAACCTTATCCTGACCAGACGTATGTGGCTCCACCACCAAAGCGATAGCGGCCCTTGTGTATAATGCCATTTCAGACCCCATGTTTATCCCTATGTGGAATTTCATCAAGGCATTCCTTCACGATCTACCGAAAAGGATGCATTTCTGGACCCTGTGTGGTGAGCGTGGTTATCCTCGATGGCTTATTAATGGAGCTGCCAGCAAAGATCGCATTACACAGATCTGTTTACGGAAGGAAGTCATCATCATTAATCTCTCAGTAACCAAGAATTTGTATTTCAGTAAGGATCTGTCATTATCTGCTTCTGTTCAACAACCCTATCCCGATCAACAACCCATCATGACTTTGGCTATTCCGACTGTTTAGCTGAAAAATCTTTGATCATTAATGATGAATTGATGAAGTTCCTCCGCGAAGGTTTCATTAATATTATCTCTTGCACATGAATATGATATATCGAAGGATGTTAATAGCGTTGCGCAAAAGGATTAGGAACCATTACAATACAAATGTAACGGTTAGTCTTCAATCATCACACCAATTCTGACCTATGTGCATTTCATGTTGATATTTTGCGCAGCCAGTAAGTATGGTGTGGGCAAGAAACATTTTACTTACTGTCCTCACTGGTCAACTTTTAAAATCGCTGTTATATGCACTGAATCGACTATATAAAGGATGTGTAATAGGACGTTGCGCAAAAGCGACGGAACGGTGGTACAAATGTAACAGTTAACATCTTCAATTATGGCACATCACTTCAATTCTGACCTATGTGCATTTTGATGTTGATATTTTGCGCAGCCAGTGAAGTATGGTGTGGGCAAGAAACATTTTTACTTTACTGTCCCTCCTGGTCAGTGACTTTTCAAAATTAATTCATACACTGTTATCGAATGCACTGAATGATCATTAGTGTCGCCATGCAGCAGTGTGTTGTAGGGCAGCTCAAGGACGACCGGTGGTAGGTCAGTGATGGTGTGTTGTGGCAACATCCACAGCTGTAGGACAGACCTGATTCATCGACATATTTCCTTATCACGATAAAAGACGTCAAGTCATTGTTCCATTCTTCGCTTAATATTAAAATCACTTGTATTCCTGTCAAGCAACCTGACCACGCTCATGGGGGACTTGGGTTCATTCAGTGTGCGACATAGTCAGTAGCCCGCTAGCCCGTGCTAGTAAAAATTCAGTCGGGCCAGTAAATCTCCACAGTCACTACCCCGACTGGCTAGTGAATTTTCATGGGGTCATTTTTAAATATATCACTCTCTCCGACTTGTTAAGTTATAATAAACTTTTATATCATGCACGATTATGGCTTGATAAAAATGTTCATCATATTAGCAGCTTAATGATGAAACCCGTGTCAACATTCTCATTTCGGGCTAGTGAATTATATATATTGTGGGCTGGTAACGTTCAGGCATAGCTAGCCCGACTGGCTAGCAAAATTTGGAAACTGTTTGCACACTGAACTTGGGTGTCGTGTGTGCCAGCGTTATCTATTCCCGTTTGGGACTTTAAATTCGAGTTAAAATGTTTTTGATGCTGTGTCCCCAAAACGATCATATCTTTTATTTTTCAATCGCGATGGAAGTTGAATGGTGTTATACCTCCCTCGCTCGCTAACCATCACTCCCCTCACTCACTCAGTACATTTTTGAAATCAGCGTCAGCCAGTCACCCAAGTTGAATCACTATCTCCAATTATCTAATCTAGGCATACAATCTTTGCATATTGTCAGCAACAGCAAACTATAACAAGTAGGTAAATGTGTGGCCCAGTTTGCTGGAGTCAATCGGTAGACTGTAATCAATTGGCTTGTGAGTTGTCACCAAAGAAACAAGCTGGCATGTTTTTGGTAACAGGAATTAACTGGCTTCATTTATCTAGGTTTATGAACAAAAATTCTTTCATTTCACTTGAAATGTCTATAGGTACTAGGGTTTACACAAAACAAAAACTTGAACGTTTAACATCACACTGGGTAACCCCTGTGTTTTCAGCACAGTTTCTGAACGCGAAATGCCAGAACACAAATTGACCCCTTCCTTCCCAAAACAACCGTAGCAACGTTCAGTTGACAATAATTCAACCATCTTCAGTTTAACACTTTCAAAGTCGGCTAATAAAAAGCGTAATTCATCAACTGAGGGAGCATAAAAAAATAAATATTGTGAGTATTTTGTTGCACTAAACAAAGGGTATGTCAGCTGTACATCAGTGATACGGCACATTTGTAGTTAAAGGTGCAGTTTTACGGCTACAGCTGATTCGCTATTCGCTACTTATTGCTGAGTAACTTATCGGTTAGTTAATCGTATCTTTTTTGTCTTCATAGCTGGTCAGTCACAACTGACCGTGATTATAACCCGGTCCCTTATCAGGTGAACTAGATCTAACCGGAAAGAACAGGGGACATGTTATTGCAGATCATGTCGGAATCACCGTGAACTTTGACCGACCAAAGAAATGACTAAGTAGAAATCTATATTAGCCAATCAGAAAGCGGCATTCTGGAACTTTACTGTACTACTGTGCTAATTTCAAAGTTCCATTCGAGACAAAGCATTGAAAACTATCAGAAAAGTGACCAAAAAAATAATATTCTGAAATTCTGGTGCTGTCTGATTTTGTCTGGGGTAGTGCCAGCTGAGATGAAAATTTCCGTATCCGCGAAAGCACGTTCATTAAAATTATTCTTTGCCTTGGTAGGATTGTAATTTATTTTCGTAAAATTGTTTCCAAACCGTGGCATTTTTATCTGGTAACAGTGATATAATATTTATATATTTGTATAATCCATATTTGCATATTTATGCATACAAGCGTCATATGTCATAGCTAATACCAATGGATGAAGTGATGCTCGACTGCCAAATTGATTCTCTTTATAGTATGTCATTATCATCGGTTGGCGTATAGAACATCTAGCCTTGAAACACCATAGTATGTGAGTGTTTTATATGTTAAAGACGTATGTGTAATAAAGACGTTGTCCTCCATAAAGTATCTTTCCATTATTATTACCAATCAACTTCTAAAATCCAAATCGAACCGATCTATAGTCCGTTTGGCTCAAAAGCGGACCGATGAATTGCAATCTAACTCGAAAACTAATAAACATAAAATACTCAATGAAACACTGATCATAATCAAAACATCAGACCAACTCTGTCATTTGTTTGCAGAATTTATGTCCTAAAATTGAAAAAGTTGTTTAACAAACAATCATTAAAATATTGACACAGTTCACTATTTGTTACGAGGGAGGAGTGCAGAGAAAGGGACAGCCAGGTGTTAAGAGAAGCACGTGCACAAGTGCCGACAAAGTTATTGATTCATTAACCTGTGCTGTGCCGTCTCCATCCTTTCTCGCACACCTGGCTGTCCTTTCTCTGCACTCCTCCCTCGTAACAAATAGTGAACTGTGTCAATATTTTAATGATAGTTTGTTAAACAACTTTTTTATTGTTAGGACATAAATTCTGCAAAAACTCACAGAGTTGGTCTGAGGTTTTGATTATGATCAGTGTTTCATTGAGTATTTTATGTTTATTAGTTTTCGAGTTAGATTGCAATTCATCGGTCCGCTTTTGAGCCAAACGGACTATAGATCGGTTTGATTTGTATTTGAGAAGTTGATTGGTACTAATAATGGAAAGATACTTTATGGAGGACAACTTCTTTATTACACATGATGTTGTTTAATTGGGGGTTGTGTCTAAATCATTTACTTCGAGATATCATCCGGAAGTATAGACATTTCACGTAATATTTATCGAATCAAAACCCTTGCGGTCGATACAGTTTCCCTCTGCTGGGTGATTTAGCACTTTGTTATCAGAGTCAGAGTTTATTTCCAGTAAAAGACCATAGGCCCAAAATACATTTAAAAGATACATTGTCTTCACACGCACAATGGTCTTTCAAGAGTGTTTATAATAATCCTTTTAACATTAAATAGATATAAAGCAACATATTTTACAGTATCTAAGCCAGTATTCTGGAAAAGATACCTCTGTCACTCTATTATGAAGATAAGGGACCGGGAAAGTTGTTTGTAAATTAATGTCATTTCTGAAAGACCCACCATCTGTACAAATGTAAATATATTCTCTTCTACAGACTATAATTTTTTCTATGTCAAGAGATTGCTTTCCATGCCGGATATTGGTTGACTAAAATAATTACTGTCCAGTTTTAACGTGAACGTTTCCCGAGTTAATGTTAGTTTTATTGATTTAAAGCGCCAGTAAAATATGTGTATTCAAGGGAGGTAATACACTACCGAAGGGGATTAAGAAGAACTCCACGCACTGCTGTTTTCAATTTATTTGTTACAATTATTTGAGAAATTAAACCAATATGCTAAACTACGTCCTTAGCATACGTCATATTTGATATATGCATATAGACCTAGCAACAAACTATATCATAAATGTCTAAATAATTCATAAATCGGGACAAAGCGTTTCTGGGTTAAATATCGCATAACCCTGTGCAGAGTTCGAAGAACATCACTGACAGGAACCGCGGCTTCTATCAATGGAAAACCCGGACGTATGATGGACTACGATTTTAAAGTGAAGACAGCCAATGAACGTGCCAAAGTAGAAGATTTATTCGACTACGAAGGATGTAAAGTTGGTAGAGGGACTTACGGCCATGTGTACAAAGCAAAGCGGAAAGACGGGTACGCTGGGTTAGACAATTTATATATCTTGAGTGCTGAAATTAAACAATGCCTGAATCAACTCAACACTGACGATATGATAAAGCAGGGCGATAGATAAACTGCATGGTGAGGGAACATGACTAACATCGACAGTTTCTGTAGTTGTTGGGAAGTGAAGCTACATCGAGAGAAACTTTCGTATAAGGTGTACGGAAATACAATTTACAAATGTAAAATGGAAAGAGGTCATCGACGGTTTATGTACAAACTTACATCATTATAAAACTTCATAGCTCACTCTTTTCCAAAGTTTGTTTTTAATCGTAGTTTTCTAATTTATTTCATGATTTCTAAACTTCTCATGCAAAACGTATTTGAATTCTGTTGCACAATAAGACCCAGGTTGGGAGTCCACTGTCTGTTTACTTTTTCAAGTCTCATGTAACCTATTCTTTTTTCAAGTCCCTTATAGCCCATACTGGGGGCGGTTGGGGTAGACTAATGATTAATGCATGCACTCGTTACGTTGAAGACCCGGGTTCGATTCCCCACATGGATACAATATGTGTGAAGTCCATTTCTATATATATATATGTATTGCATGATATTGCAGTAGAAGTCCACCTTCCTGAGAAGAGGACAGTGTTGAAGGAATAACAGAGGTGCAATAGTGGATTTAATGGCCAAGGGTGTGGAGGTTCTTGAGGGCTAGCCCAATTTCGAGATGGAATGCTAATAACAAGCCTAAATGATTTTAGCGATGTGGCAACTTGTGTTGCCAACATAATTGTTACTAGCCAAAGAATGCTGAGACCCAAATGACGGAAACGTCGCAACCTGACCAACGCTAGGGGTAAAACATGGGAGCGAACGCCGCCAGGCTCAGCTGTGTAAATGCTAATCTATAATTAATGCTTAGACCCAAATGATGGAAAAAGTCACAACCCGACCAACGCTGGGGGTAAAAAAGGGGAGCGAATGCCGCCAGGCCCAGCTATGTAAATGCTAATCTATAATTAATGCTTAGACCCAAATGACGGAAAAAGTCGCAACCCGACCATCGCTTGGGGTAAAAAAATGGGAAAGTGAAAGAGAATACGGTACAAGTATGACTGGTGAAAGGCTGACGCGAAGTGATGCATAAAGTATTGCTGTTAGGTTGAGGACGTCATGCACGAGGTGTTACGCATGAGTGTCGTAATTTTCAGGGAGGTGCGCATGCACATCCACTGATGCAAGAAGTCAAAATGTAAACATAAGATAGCGTACCTGCAATAAAAACATTTAGTAACTAGTATTAAGTGTCATTATGACACTTGTGTTTATCCTGTTTGTTTCTGATTTCCAGTGATGGCCGGGAGTATGCCCTCAAGCAGATTGAAGGAACGGGTATATCAATGTCAGCATGCAGAGAGATAGCAGTAAGTAGATGAAGCTAGTTGCAAATAATAATAATAATAATAGTAGTTCATTTATAAAGCGCATATTTCCATGCACAATGCATGCTCAAAGGCTTTTTGGAAAAGGTGAAAAGGAATTTTCTAGCAATTGCTGTTCTCCAAACAATAGTTTCTCCGTTAAGATGTAGAGTTGTGAAGCTGAGATGCTTTTGGACACAAGTCACAGGAGTGATAGTTTTCTGCAGTTTGAAACAGACATTTTTATGAATTTCAGTACTTTTTGAACCCCAAGGCTAACTATGTTCAGGTAAAATATTTTCATACCAAATTGAACAGGAAGAGTTTCTCATTGTTTGACATGACTGATTGCAAATTTCAGTACTTCTTGAACATTTATCCTGAAGATGTTTGGCTGAAATATTTTCATGGTCACATGAACAATTTAGATGACACATACAGGGATTTATCTAGACAGCTCAGAAACAGAATTTTGCAAAAGATTCCCCAATTGGAGTTATTTGAGTCTAATTTGTCTACAAAGGTTAATCTCTGTAAAAAATGATGCATTGAAGCTTAGTAACTCTTCCTTCTTATTTTACAGCTGCTACGAGAGTTGAAGCATACCAATGTGATAAGTCTACAGAAAGTGTTCCTTTCCACACAGACAGAAAAGTCTGGCTACTGTTTGACTACTCAGAACATGATCTTTGGGTAACCTTTTATTCCATTTTGTTTTTCTAGTCACTTGTTTAGAAACCTGTTACATCTTTTGTTGCCAGTTAAACATAGCTAAGGACAGACCTTTCTATGATGATTTTAATATATACTGCGCCAACTGCTGAATATCAAGAGGTAAAATGTATTGTAATACTTGAAACATTGTATCACAATGAATAACACTACCACATAACAAGTAGTTGCACCACTGTGGAATAATGATTATGTTGAGATGTGTATCTGCATTAGTATTAAGTGCATATTGATTACAGTGAGACCCCGGATATCTGGACACATTTGTTTTTGCGTATATTGTCCAGATAACTGAATATCTTGATATCTGGATTTCTGTCATCCAGGCTTAGGTGTTGAAATGGTAGCGAGCATACACTTCTGGTTTAAATCACTTCCAAAACAGCATGGTCGTTTTGATTTGCCAATAAGAATTCACTCTGTGTCAGATAGGCTTACTAATCAGCACCAATACCCTGCTGATCGGTCATTAATCTGGATTAGTAGACCCTGTCTCATGTCAAGACACATGGGACTTTCGCGCTTCACTTCACACGGAAGATCAAAGCTTCATACGGATAAGTGAGTCAATTTTTTGTTGATTTAGCCGGTTGGTTTGTAAACTTACCATCCGGGAATGGAAACTGCATATCCGTTATAGACAGTCACTTTTATAACATAAGAGATTGTTTTTTAATGAAAATTGACCGGACGGCGAGGTGTCCAGATATCTGAGGTCCAGGTATCCAGGGTCTCACTGTATTTGAGTGTCCATGTAAGAGATGGTCACATGTGGTCACATATGCTGTATATCACTTTCAGCACATCATCAAATTTCACCGGTCTGCTAAGGCCAACAAGAAGGTGGTTAATGTGCCAAAGAACATGGTGAAGTCACTCCTCTTCCAGATTCTAGATGGGATCCACTACCTCCATGCTAACTGGGTGCTACACAGAGATCTGGTCAGTATTCCAGACACACGGGCAGATGCCACTGGTCATATCCTGTAGCATTGCAGAATAATACTGTATGCAAAACAACTAGATTGGGGGAGAATGTGAATAGTCCCTATCAATTTTCAGGAGTCTTGGTGAACAGTGTAGGGGCCATATCTGCCTCAGCAATGATCTTATGCCATCAGTTTGACTGCTTGATCATATTGATCATGAGAATGGATGTATTCCAAGGAGGAGTGAGTGAGTGAGTTAAGTTGTACGCTGCAATATGGTGGGGGTCTGTAAATAATCGAGTCTGGACCAGACAATCCAGTGATCAACAGCATGAGCATTGATCTATGCAATTGGGATACGATGACATCAACAAAGTCAGCGAGCCTGACCACCTGATCCCATTAGTTGCCTCTTACGACAAGCATGGGTTACTGAAGATCAATTCTAACCCGGATGTTCACTGGTCTCCAAGGAGGAACTGACCTCAAGCTTTAATCATGTTAATAGGGATAAAATATATGGACATGCTTAAAATCCTGAAATTTGACTTGCCCTAGGAATACATAGGAGAAATCGACATACCAGTGATCAGTACCTATGACATTAAAGGTCACATAAACCCTAGGGGGTACAAATACATAAATCACTAACTGGCATCGTTATAAATGAAACCCCCGTAATTAAAACTACTCATTTCGACCTTTAATTGACTTAAATCGACCTTTTTGACAACAGTGCACAATTCTCACCCGCGAACGAAATTTCAACCAATCAGAGCGGCGCGCCTCTGTGACGTCATATGAGGAATAGCTTTGAGGGCCGATGCAGAATTCATCTACATTTTAGGGGTTAAATTATCTTGTTTATCTTGCTTGTATAAACCTGAAATCGTGACAATTGTTGTGGAAAATGAAAGCTATATGTTCTCACAATCTACTGTCATTTAATTTTGTCTCCTGCTTTGCCTAGTTTCCGAGTTACTACTTGTTTTCATAGACGATTCTGTCAAAATCGATTGGTGTCGTTAGGCCCTATTTGTATAATGACTGATCCAAATTGATCCCATTTCTGTGTTTTTTTACCTCGATATTTAATCATGTCATGTAAAAATCTGTTTGTATTCTCAAAACAGTGTCGGCCCATAAGTTTTCACATGCAATACAGCAATTAATACTCCCTTGTTGTAACCCGTGTTAGGTGGTATAAACCTACACATGTTATTTGTCATCATTCACTTGATGGTCAGTTAATGAATTTATAACAGGTATAATTTAGTGGTAACACACTTAGATTACCCGACAAAGGTTCCCATTTGGCATTTCTTGTGTCTCGAGTAAATATTCAACATTATAAACATCGATCAAAGGATTAACCGATAACACGCTGATTGATTAATTACTTTTATCTTACACAGAGGAATTGTCAAAAGGTAGTGTTTATGTATGTAGATTTACTAATCTATACTGAATACACTCTGTCGTGTCGGTGTCTGCGTAAAAACTACGTCCTTCTTTCAAAGGATTAACCGGCAATACATTGATTGATTGCCCATTATTGGCTAACTAAATTACTGTTTTTAAAGAAAGGCGGACACTATGCAATTAGTTGCCAGGTGTGCTATCTTGGGTGACCAATGAGACTATACACCAATACCTGAAAAGATTTATCACTTTTTAGTATATTAAACTGTTAAAAGACACATCATTTGGAACAGTTTGTGGATATTGATGGATACATTCCTCGAACAAGGTAATGGCCTGATATTGTTCCCATAACTTTAATCTGTTTTAATTTTAATATTTGCATTTTGTTTTATTCATTTGTCGTAGCATTCAACAGAATCATTGTTTTAGCCGTGAAGTGTAATGAGACAGACAACATGCACTAGGGTGTGTGTGCGAATTATGATTCACATTGGCAAACTATAAAATGTCTAGATATTACAGTTCTGTTATAAATTCACTATAGGTATCAGCAGATCGTCTGCTTTTTATTTAGTTTCAAAATGCATACAAGTGTGATAATAAACTAATTAGGATTATAAGACCAAATATAAAGGCGCACATTGACTAGTATCTACATACTGGTTAGTGGACATTAACCATGGGAATGTAGCAAAGAAATTTATCGGCGCTTGGCATTGTGACTTCGACCCCACCTGCGGCTTCCGTGGAAGAAATCGTTATGTTATAAGTTGTGTCATGCAAAATCCGTTTGGTTATGATTCCAATACATATTTAACTTCTGAGTAGAAAGTAGTCTTGATTTTCTAACTTGATGAAAACAAACTATAATCTCATTAATTCTAACAGATTTTTTATTTTTAAAATGGCGCGGCCCTGTCGGGAACATCCATGATCTGAGGATAAATGGTATTTAGGTTTGTTTTCACCGAGAATTACAAAATCAAAACTACTTTCTACTGGTAATAAAATATGTATTTTATTGATAATAATAGGATTTTGCATGACATAAGCGTATATCATAACAATTTCTCTCGTGGCAGCTTGAGGTGGGTAATCAATATAATACTACTTACAATATTATTGTTACTTGACCACAACCTCACTTCGAGGAAGAAATCGTTATGTTACAAGTTGTGTCATAGAAAATCTTTATGGTCATCAATCATATGCATATTGTACTACAACTAGTAAGTAGTTTTGATTCTTTAACTTCCGTGAAGCGATCTGAACACAAGTAAGATATCGTTTCAGGCTTCCACAACGGCTAAACCGCTCACACAAAACATAACCCATTTAGCACGAACTGCGGGGTCCTGTGGAAATCTGTGCATGGGGACACCATCGCCCGACCCTAGGAGCAATTGGCGACAAAGCAGCGATTAGGCATGTAAATCGTTGATGTCGAAATCATCAAAATGATGAGCGTGCTACACATTTTCTATACAACTAACTGAAAATCGTTCCTCACATGACGTCACTGCAGTGCTCTGGCGACAGAGTTACGTAACCTGTCTTTGGTTTCGTTGGCGGGCGAGAGGGAAGCAGGCGACTTTTTGGGCACTTTTAATCGCTCGGTATTAATTAACCACAAGTTTTTAAAGAATATATTTGGTGTTCCGCATAAGACTAACCACAAATCTTTCATATGTAATGGTTAAAAGAGTAACAAAAAACAAAGTTTATTGGTTCTTTAAGTGCATGTTGACAGGGAAGGTCCGGGTTAGAATATTGGCCTTCAGTAACCCATGCTTGTCGCAAGAGGCGACTAATGGAATCGGGTGGTCAGACTCGCTGACTTGGTTCACACATGTCATCGGTTCCCAATTGCGCAGATCGATGCTCATGTTGTTGATCACTGGATTGTCTGGTCCAGATTCGATTATTTACAGACCACCACCATATAGCTGAAATATTGCTGAGTGCGGCGCAAAATTAAACTCTCTCACTCACTCACTGGATACTGACCCAAGGTGGATGTCAGGGTGTACCTATACTTACTAGAGACTTTGACATGAATACATATATGTACATTGTTCACAGATGATGTCTGATACATCATTTGTTGTCCTGTTGTTGAGAATATGAACCTAATCTCCTATATTTCTGTGTGTGATACAGAAACCAGCCAATATCCTTGTCATGGGAGAAGGGACTGAACGAGGCAGAGTGAAAATAGGTGTGTATGACCAATTGTTTTGTTGAAAATGTTGAACATAGTGAAAGTAATTCAGTGTGTGTCCGTACATATTGATCCCAAATCTGTAATTCTGCAAAACTCATGATACATTTTACATTTACAGGCAAAATGTGTAACAACATGGATCATTTGTAATCATGGTTTTTTGTAATCTCATTCGGCTGGCCTTATGCCATTCCATTGTGTTAGAGAATGTACATTTCAGGTTGGTTTAACTTTCCGTGATAACATTACATGAGCTGAAATATGACTTTTGTTGCTATTTTCCAGCTGACATGGGTTTCGCCAGATTATTTAACTCTCCCTTGAAACCCCTTGCTGACCTTGACCCTGTTGTTGTGACCTTCTGGTACAGAGCACCGGAACTTCTACTCGGGCCGCGGCATTACACAAAGGCAATAGGTAATGACACAACATTAAAGAACGATTATCATGATAATTCTATCAAATGAGAAAAAGCTTTTGGATTTCCCAACTGTTCCCACATACCAAGAACGTACATTGAACTAGGACTGCACGGTATATCGGTATATCGTAATACGCTTTTCAAACGATACTTATTGCAATATGTTTTCTGAGAACCGGTATATTGGGTAAAGAAAATATATGGACACAAATCTACAGACATCCATTCACAACAGATGTTTTACTTCGTTAGTCAATGACAAAACGGCATACTGTAAAACTATAAAAAAAAAAAAATTTTTTAAATAAAATCACTGACTATGCAATTTAAGTTTGAGATTGCTGTTATCAGAACCATAACATATATTTTTAGGGACTTATAATGTAGAAAATTGGATCGACATGTACAATTTGTTTCACTCACTGTCAAACATTTAAGTTCCCAATATATCGCAATACGTATCGCAATACGGGACCCTGAATCGCAATATATTGCAATACAATATGTATTTGCCAAATACACAGCTTTACATACAACATTCCATTTTGCCATCTCGGAACAGTCAGTTTTGATCTACTGCCCCAACTTGTCTTTTGGCTTCATTTTTTATGTTCAGTATTGATATACATGCTCTTGAAGAAAATATCTCAGCACATAGAAGTATGTTCATGTATTTGCAGGTTTAGGCTTAGATATCTTGAAATATCTTCATGTATCTTGCAAAGGCCTGAAATTTCCAAACTTCTGAAGGCTGGTACAGAATGCTTTGTCATGTATACATATTTTGAGACAACATGACTTTGAAGGAAACAGTCTTACATTTTTTGGCAACACAATAAAGAGTAGCAGAGCATTGGATTGTTTACAATATGACTCGCTGGATGGGCCAGTCCATATTCATTTGTGTACAGGCCAGTGTCATTTACCAGTTACAGTGAAACCTGTCTAAACCCGCACCCCATGGGCTGAAATAAAATGCCGATTTAGACAGGGTGCCGGATTAGACAGTGACGATCATTTTCCAACATAGCTGCCATTTACACTCGTCAGTCTCTCAATCTAGCGTGCCGAGAGGAATGTCTTGGATTATTGATCCTTGATTGGACTGCTCATACCCATGCCGGTTTAGACAGTGTTAATTACAGTTAAAATTGCTTGTTGGGACCGAAAAGTCGTGCCGGAATACGGAATTGACAGGTGCCAGATTAGACAATATTTTAATGATCATAATATCATTGTAAAATGGCGGGACCAAAATTTTATGCTGGTTTTGACAGTGTGCCGGATTAGACAGGTGCCGGTATTGGCAGGTTTCACTGTATATTGGTGACTGAGTCAGTAAACAGCAAACAACAAACAATACGCAAGAGGAATGACTTTACTGATGATGTTTTGTTTCATTTTGCAGATATCTGGGCAATAGGTTGTATATTTGCTGAGCTTTTGACGTCAGAACCAATTTTCCACTGTCGGCAGGAAGACATCAAAACCAGCAACCCATACCATCATGATCAGCTAGATAGGATATTCAATGTGATGGGCTTCCCACAAGGTGAGGAAGACTAGAGGAATCTGTAGTATAGTAGGGACTGTGACCTGTCTATTTTATCAGGCATTGAACTCTTAGGATTCATGATTTTGAGTTATTGGTTTGGGAAAAACAGTGTGGCCACATTCTGTGTAGCAGACTGGCCACATGAAGAAAACTTGATTGTCATCCATTTTACTGACTTCATGCAGGCACTGAAACCATTGTAATCTTTCACTATTTATATGCAGTGATTTTCTTTGGCAAGATGAAAAGGACAAGAATTTTTATTGTACTTCTTATCAGAAATATGAAATGTCATCAGTTCAAACAGGCTCATATTTTTGGTCCTGTGTGATTTGCAGTACCCTAATATCTGTAGCAGCCTACTGACGGTAACCTTTGATAATGTGCACCAGTCATTCAGACTCAGATCAGGGGGTCTGTGATTTGAATCCTGTCATGCAACCCGGACATTTTATGGCACTTTGGAAGACATTCCAAAGGTTTAGCATTATAGGATGCAATACATTGCAGAAAGTAAATGGTGAACTGTTTGCTGATGTGACGTCTCACTTCAAACATTGAGATCATATGATAAAGGGAGGTAATCCATGTCTGGGACAGATAGTATTTTGATTTGATGATGCATTTTATTATGAATCCTCAAAGAATGTATTAATGTCAACATTCTCAGTTTGATTGTTTGTTTGTTTTAGATAAAGATTGGGAAGATATACGAAAAATGCCAGAACATCAACAGTTGCTTAAAGACTTTAAGAAGACCTCGTAAGTACACATGTGCTTAGGGTCTTATGTCCAGGTTAATCTGTGCACTGTGGAATTGTTAATGATCAGGTAAATTTGTTGTCAGTAATATGACACAAACCCATGTAAAAAGTCCTGTATTTTGAAATGATCATGGGCCTATCTAGACCGTCTCAGAGGCCTTCATTTAGCCCCGAGGTGGGAGTAGATGTCAGTAAGAAGCTTGAATGTGAGTATGGGTCCAGGGTTTTTATGTCATTTGGAGAGATGATAAACGCTGGGTGGTACCGGATGAGGATTCCTGGCTATACAGTTAGGGTGTATATCTAACTGGGTTGACATTTACAGAGGTAGATGCAAGTCTGTTGTCTGTAATGCTTCAATTTGTGTTTCAGGTATGTGAATTGTAACTTAATGAAGTATATGGAGAAACACAAGGTGAAGTCGGACAGCAAAGCATTCCATTTGGTAGGTGACACTTGGTTCTCCTTGTCAGTGCAACTGCACTTCTCGCCAACAGATATTCTGGTTTGATTTTGTCCCAAGTATCCTACGCTTGTCGTAAGAGGCTTCAAGAGGTGACAACATTTCACTGTATGGTGAGGCTTCAGACTTAGATGACTGTATGTCATTCTCCCAACATGCTTGGATGTTGCTCACATTATCAACCACTTGTTTGTGTGGCCCAGACGCCTTTATTTGTATGCCTCTATTGTCATAGTGATTCAGTTAGACATTTTGTAAAGTGGCATTAAACCCAACACAATGTGTTGTTCTCATTTGGTAATTCTGGATAAGAATAATTGTGCCCAGTTACCGATGCTTGTCCTTAGAGGCGACTAATTGGATTGATTGATCAGGCCCTGATTTCTCGAAACAAACTTAACTCTGAGTTTGACTTAAGTTAGAGTTTTTACTCAAATTTGAGAAAATGCATTTCCCAGAATGAACTGAGATTGATATTAAACTCAAACATAGTAGACAATTTGAGTTTGGTGGATAGATGACTTAAGTTGTTTGGGGTTTTTTTATTTGAAAAATGCAGTGAGCTAATAATTCAGTTGTTTCAAATTGTCAAACTCAGTTTGAAATTTGAGTAAAAACTTAAGTTTGTTTCGAGAAATTGGGGCCAGGCTTCATGACTTGGTTTGTTGTATTGTCATCGTATCACAGTTGTGCAGTTTGATGTTCATAATATCAGTCTCTGGAGTGTCTGGTCCAGCTTAATATATATGGTCATACAGCTGGAATATTGTTAAGTGCAGAGACAACCAACAAACAAACATGTTGATTTTGCATAGATATTAGGTTTCCTGTTCTTTCGGTGTGTAATATGCCAGAATGTTGATCTATCATAACTGCTGGGCATTACGAGCTGTAACCACTGGCACCTGTGGCCTGATGGCTTGTGTTGTGTTCACAGTTACAGAAGTTGTTGACGATGGACCCGACCAAGAGGATAACCTCAGAACAAGCCATGAAGGACCAGTACTTCCTGGAGGAGCCGCTCCCATCACAAGAGTCAGTGTCTCCACCAGAACACTTCAATCATTGTTGTCTTGTTCTTTCTATCACAAGAGTCCGTGTCTCCACCAGAACACTTCAATCATTGTTGTCTTGTCCTTTCTATCACAAGAGTCCGTGTCTCCACCAGAACACTTCAATCATTGTTGTCTTGTCCTTTTCATCATAAGAGTCAGTGTCTCCACCAGAACACTTCAATCATTGTTGTCTTGTCCTTTTCATCATAAGAGCCAGTGTCTCAACCAGAACACTTCAATCATTGTTGTCTTGTCCTTTTCATCATAAGAGTCAGTGTCTCCACCAGAACACTTCAATCATTGTTGTCTTGTCCTTTCTATCACAAGAGTCCATGTCTCCACCAGAACACTTCAATCATTGTTGTCTTGTCCTTTCTATCACAAGAGTCCGTGTCTCCACCAGAACACTTCAATCATTGTTGTCTTGTCCTTTTCATCATAAGAGTCAGTGTCTCCACCAGAACACTTCAATCATTGTTGTCTTGTCCTTTTCATCATAAGAGCCAGTGTCTCAACCAGAACACTTCAATCATTGTTGTCTTGTCCTTTTCATCATAAGAGTCAGTGTCTCCACCAGAACACTTCAATCATTGTTGTCTTGTCCTTTTCATCATAAGAGCCAGTGTCTCAGCCAGAACACTTCAATCATTGTTGTCTTGTCCTTTTCATCATAAGAGTCAGTGTCTCCACCAGAACACTTCAATCATTGTTGTCTTGTCCTTTTCATCATAAGAGCCAGTGTCTCAACCAGAACGCATACACTCACTGTTGTCTAGTCTTTACCATTAGTATACACATTAAAGATTAATGTTACACTTCAGTAGTGAAGCCTTTTTGCTTCCTTGGTCCAGTTATCACTTTCTGAAAAGCTGAAACATTTGTTATCAAAGTTAAGATCACTACCAGTGTTTGTAACTTGAATTGAAAAGATTCCATGTACATAACACAGAGGTACAGATAAACTGCGTATCTACGTAAATTACGCAAATATTTATGTGAAAACTCAATTCCTATTAAGTCTTCTGCGCACAAGTATGCTTTAATTTTTGTAAATACTCAAATGTCGGGGTGGTGGGGGTAGTCTAGTGGTTAAAGCGTCCGCTCATCTTGCCAAAGACCCTCGTTCGATTCCCCACATGGGTACAATGTGTGAAGCCCATTCCTGGTGTCCCCTGCCATGATATTGCTGGAATATGGCTAAAAGTGGTGTAAAGCTACACTCACTCACTCACTCACTCACTCACTCACTCACTCACTCACTCACTCACTCACTCACTCACTCACTCACTCACTCACTCACTCACTCACTCACTCACTCACTCACTTCACTCACTCACTCACTCACTCACTCACTCACTCACTCACTCAGTGTGATCTTACTTGCATACACACAAAAATGTCAAAACTTAGCTTGTGGTACCAGTGGATACAGATAAGACAACTGAGGTGTATTGAGAGGTTCTATTTCAGGACATGAACTTGACAACTTGCAGTCTTTCTTATCGTTTCTCAAATTACAGATTAAATAAAAATAACAAACACTAACAATTAAACTTTATTCCATTTTCAAAATTAATACAAAATGTCAAAATACCCAATTGAGTTTGTGTTAGGTGAGTACAATTTATTTGTTTACTCAAAGGAAGATTAGGATACCCAATTGAGATAAACACAAGCAAGTACATAACTCAATGACCCATAATGTTATCTGTAGCTCTGACTTAGACTTACCTTAGATTATGTAAATGCCTGTCAATAACATATATCTGTTCCCTTCTGCAGTGTGTTTGACGGGATGAGCATTCCCTATCCAAAACGTGAGTTCATCTCCGACGACGACAACGATGACAAGGCTGATACAGGGAAGATGGCTGACAAGGTACTCTCTTTGAAATTGAAATATTCTCAAAAGAAATCCCTTTGAATGTTTTACACATGTAGGGCTAACGTTTATGTATTTCCTGATGCTTGCGTGCATCCCTGCAGCGCAGGATTTTCACTCAGTGATCCGCGCATGCCTGGTACACAGTACAACTCACTCACACTGGGCTTTAGGGATCCTTGGTCCGAGTAGGTTCCAGCATACAGAGCTGGGTGGGGCTTCAGTTGGAGTGGCCTGATCACAGTCACATGGGGTCACAAAACAACATACATTCACTCATGCCGAATATGAATAAAGCTCTGAGCTCTTGTGTGGTACAGCTGTGATCTTTGATTAACCATTAATACCTAAATGTGTTTATCAGGTGAAGGTAAATCGAATCTTAAAAAATGGTTATTTTAATTCTGAATGATAGAAAATGAAAATACAGCGTAACACACTGAACCTGCTGGTAGGCCCAAAAGCATTTTCAAAATGCCGCACCATAGTATACTTCCCAGGGAGATGAGAATGTAATTTGGATGCACATCTGTTGATTTTAATGCTATTTACTATGGTCATTTGATCCATGTGTATTGATATTACATTCGCATCTTCCTTCCTTCAAGTTGATTACAAGAAATAAACATACCAACGATCTTGGCATTATGACTTGCTTAATCAAATCTGACTTTTGTCATGCATTATTGTCCTTGGTCTATATTGGTAAAAATTTAAAAGCTTTAAAAGATATGCCATTGAATGTTATAACTCTTACCATACGTTTTACGGTAAGTTTTCAAAAGTGTCCCCGGTTTAATTTCTTTTCATGAAATGGCATTATCATAAATCGTACTAATTGTTAAACATTCCAACTCTGCTTCAACCTGTAAGGGACAGCTGTTTAACTGTATTCAGTAGTGGTGTATTTGATAATGCCAATACAGTATTGTATCACTATAGGAAGCAAAGAGTACAACTATTTTACAACTCCTGTATAGCAGTTCGCACAATACAGGACAAGCTACATTGATTTGAAGGCATAAAAACAAACAGAATTGTTCTACAGTGTATGCAGATTCTCTAGTATTTCCTCGCTGGCTGTAGATAGCAGAATCTTTACAGTGTTTGCAGCGTATATGTTTCTCCCTAACAATATGCTATCTTCAGTTCATCTTGTTTAAAAACAAGTGATTTACCAGTATAAAGGGAGATAATACAAACTTTTGAATCACGATAGGAATTGTATCACACACATATCAGCATATGTATCATATGATTATCACGACCTCATTATATCAATAATCCTCCAACAATCAGGTCTAGTTACACAGTGATAGTCAAAATTAATGTGAATAGGGATGTCCCTTTAAGTAAGGCCAAAAAGAAATATGTCCATTTCCTATTACATGCTTTTTAAAAGTAGGGTAGGTGGGTCGGTTTTGTCTTCTTTTTTTAACTTTTTTTTTTTATTTCTTAGTGGTACCAGGTGGGCACCTGAGGTCTTCAAGAGTACCATATCATGTAGTGACAATGCCTTGTGATGAAACATTGAAAGATTTCTTTATCAAATCATTATTTATGTTATTTATTTGCAGATTTGGTCAGTGAGGACCCATTATGCTTATTCAATGCAATCCATTTTGGCCCTATATACACTGAAAAACATGAAAATATCATACTCGATTTGGATGAAAATGATGAGTTGAAATGCATTCCAGTCATGATATTGACTTGGTTAAAAAAGATTTAGGGTGTGTGTGTGAGTGTGTGTTTAGTTAGGATAGGGTCGGCCGGGTTACCGGAAACGGACATAATTTTATTATTTTTTGCCTAATAGTGGTGGGTGCCAATACCTGACAGTTATCCTCTGTATGTCCGCGCTATAAATGATTTCCCTGAAGTTGTAAAACTTGTGTTTGTGTCACATGCAATTTCCCCTACACAGGTCTGACATACTGTGATAATACTGAAATACTGTCAACCATCCTGATCCATGTCTATAGGTGGCTTTTAGAGTCAGTGGTATCAATGCAGAATGGATTTCAGTAAACAAGTCTGTCTTGGAACTCACTCCCAAATTCCGAGTTTCAAAAAATGAGATTGTATTGTATTTTGAGTATATTTTTTAACTTTTCAGCTATAATTTTGTGTATTTTGACAGCACAATTGATCTAACCTCTGACATTGAAACATTGGTGTTTATTCCAACAGCTGAAGATGTTGCTTGTGATGCAGGCCGTGCATGTATTATGTGTGTGTGTTGTGTTATTCAGGTGAAGCTTGGTGCTGGGCAGAAAGTGAGTATGAAGCTGTTAGCTTTTCCTCCCTCATCAGCCGCTGTAGTAACACTCATGTACTGTGTGCTCTCTTAGCAGCTCAAGACCATTTCACTTCGAAAACGGAAACAAAATTGTCAATTTCCATTTCGGTTTTAATATGAATTTTAACTTAGTAAACAATAATTTGAGGCTGTATTGATTCATTTCAAGGTTTTAAATTGGTTTTAGTTTTATATGGTTAATTTCTGAATTTTGATATTGACATAGAGTTGACATTGTAGGTGATGGTTTTTGGAAGTTTGTGTGAATTCTTGACATAGTAGTCTGAGGGTTTAAGTTTGTTCGTTGAGTCAATGAGATGAAGAAGGTGTCATGGTTTATCAAGGTTTATCAAGGGCCTTAATGACAAATACATCTCTTTGTGTAGCATTGCATCTCATGGCCTTGTATGGGGCGGTGGGGTAGCCTAGTGGTTAAAGGATTTGCTCGTCATGCCGTAGACCGGGGTTCGATTCCCCACATGGGTAGAATGTGTGAAGATCATTTCTGGTGTTCCCCGCCATGATATTGTTGGAATAATGCCAAAGCAGCGTAAGAGCCAACTCACTCACTCACTTCACCTTGTATTAACCTGCTGTCATGTGTAAGAACCCTTGAATTGCCCCGAATGTAATTGGGATATCAGTCCAATGGTTATACTTTTTTGTTTCACCTGTGAACAAAGTAAACTTCTCAGCAGGTGCACTTGTGTTATCATATGTTCCTTCAAAAATTGGAAAATCAATTGGTGCAGATTGAAATACTTCTGTTAGGGTCTGACTTGAACTTGAAGGTCAGGTCCTCCTGACCTATGCTTTTAATATTAGGGCTGCGCAATATAACCGGTTTACCGGTATTTACCGGTTCAGACATGAACACGATACGTATTGCGATATGCTGATCGAAAACCGGTATTTTGACATGCATTCGGAAAACTTTGTAACACTCGGAAATCTTCGGATATTTCCGTTTTTTAAATCGTTCCTTTCCTTGTTTCATTTGTGCCAAACATTATTTACATATTTATTTTGTCATCATTAAAAGTTTTTATCAAAACCTAGTCAAGCATAGTGATTTTGTTGTGTTTTGCTTTATAAATCAAGCAATAACTCGATTATAAGTAGTTTTTGTTAAAAAGAACTTCTTGCAATATATTGCAATACATATCACAATATATGCTTTCGCATCGCAATATATCGCAATATGAAAATTCTCTGCAATACCCACCCTTATTTAATATTGTAAGGAGAGGAGTTAGTGTTCAATTGCTGCTTGGTTTGAATAGCTCTTGATTGAATGGCATTGGGAGATGCCATCTCTCAGATGGAGGGTGTCGACATACACTGATGGGTTTGTTCAAGTATTCGACAGGCACTTGTGATGTATCTATAGAAAGCGTGAGTGGGTTTCAGCAACACTGTCTGATTCTAGGGGTGATACGATGGTTACAATGGTGGTCAAGACGGTGCCGCAATTCATGATCAGGGTTATGTCCCTTTGGCTGTGTCCGGTTTCATTGATTGAGGGTTAACATTGTATTGGATCATCGTTGGGGATTTGGTTATTCTCAGTTTGTACAAATGTGATAAAATCTACCCCCTTCATCACATTGAGTTTTCTCCAATATTAAGCAAACAGGCTTTGATGTAACAGTAATATTTCCGCATTCATCCCAGCTTATTCACTCGTTCTTAATCACAGGAGCCATTTGGGGAACTTACATAGTGTAAAGTGTGTGTAGTGTCTGGTAGGTGTAGAGACGAAACCTTGGAATGAATTTATCCTCGCCTCCTTCAAACCATTTAATGGATCAAGTTATTGTGCAACTAAATCTGTGGCTGATGCATGAAACACTCTCAGTGAAACAAGAACCTAAAAAGGCATTCCGTGTTCCGACGTCCCACACACAAACTGAAGTACATGGTACGTCAGTCTCATTGACACTAGACTCTGTGGTATAGCCATTGATGTGTATTCAGCTGACAAAGACCAAGCATGTTATCCCATAAACTATGACATATGGATGAAGTGTTTTGGGGATGCCTTTTTAGCAATGTTTCACAGAAGGAAAAGCATAACAGCTTTTAGATACTTGAACTCCTCAGAGGAAGGGTTTTATTTGAAATGTCCTGGTCTATTGTCTCATTGCATTGTGTACCATACTACATGTTTTAATATCATCCTTAGTATCAAATTATATTCTGTATTCACTGTTATGTGATGTTCTCTCCATGGCATGAACTGAATTATACATGGAGATAGTGGTTTCTCATTTAAGATGTTGTTTCAGCAAGTCTTTCTCGTTTAGGATATTTTTTCAGCATACCTATCTCATTTGAGATGTTGTTTCAGCATTTCTTTCTCATTTGAGATGTTGTTTATGTTTGATGCTTTTTAAATCGAGTGGGTTCTTTTTACTTAAAATTGGGCAAGGGTAATACTGTCCCTATTTGTGCCATATTTTTCATCCCTGATTAATCCTGCTCTGGGTGTGAGCTCAAGTTGAGAGATCACTCCCTAATGTAAAGAATGATAGATATGAAGGGAGGTAAGGTTTTGGGGTAGAACTCCTGTCGGCCCCTGGGTTACTTAGTACATTTAATACTGTCGCAGGGTTTACCATTAAGTCACACAATTGGTCAGAGGCCTGGTTTTTTTCTTGTGTACAGTGTGGACTTGAGTATGATGCACACATTCTTTATTGCAAATAGATACATTTCAATGTAGATTATACCATTATCGGGGGCGTTTGGGTTGCTTAGTGGTTAAAGTGTTCGCTCGTCTCGCTGAAGACCCGGGTTCAATTCCCCACAAGGGTGCAATGCGTGAAGCCCATTTTTGGTGTCCCCCTCCATGCTATACTGAGTCTAACAAACCCTAGCAGAAGGTCGAGTCAGCTAACCTTTTGAATTGACCAATCAGAACACAGATTACTAAATCACAAAAGTTAACATTCGCACATACCATTTGAACTTTTACCTCAAAAACGTTTGTACTCGAACGATTCCAAATGCTATTTTCTGCACGATCTCTTCCGAGTGATACACATGATACAGTCGCTGAAAATATCGTTTTTGTCAATATTCCAGGATGTCATCTTGCAGAAATATAAGCTGATAGTAACCATCTCATCAGAAACCCATAAGTGTATAAACTACATGTCAAATATCTGTGTTTTTATGATTTTCGTTTGTTGAGAGATCAGTGTCAGCGACCGGGGAAAGAGAAAATCCAAAAACACTTCACACAGAAACTCAAACTAACTAAATAGAAGCTGTTGTCTGATTGGTTAAATCCGTTCAGTCGTCTCACGTTTGATTAATACTGAGACTAAGTTTACTTAGACTGTTACTGAAAAGAACTGATGGAACAATCACAAGGAACATGATAATTACATCAGGGAGGTCACAGGAGAATATAAACATGGCTTAGGGCGTCAGTGTCTGTACACCTATTTCTGTGTGTTGTATACAATAGCAAGCGAGGTGATTTCAGTAAATGTCAGAAATGAAGGAAACAGTGCATGAATTAAGTAGATCTATGCCAATATATCATAGTATTGATAATCGTGATATTTTATCTGACGATAAATATATCGATACTTGTTTTCGTATCGTGATATGTATCGTTGACCTTAAAGTTGTTAATTTTCACCAGAAATTGACGGTTATGTCAAAATTTACACTGGTATTTGCTATTAAAATATATTTTTTTAAAGAAAATAACTAAAGACAGCATATCATGATATGCATCGAATCGTATTGTATCGTTCCAAGCTATCGCGATACGCATCATATTGTGAAATTTCTGTATCGTCACACCTCTAAAATTAAGTGTTTTTTGTTTTATTTTGATATATGAAATGTGGTGCCCTAGGTCTGTTGTAGCAATGATTTATTTCTAGCTGCTTGGCATCCATTGTTTTCTACAGCAATGGTTGTTGGTAAGTCAGGGCTATGACCCTTGATTGGTTTTCATCAAAGTGAGAAAAGTCTGTGCCATCTTGTGACTTCTCCCACTGGTGTGACTGAAATACCCTTCACATGATGCACACCTGTTAGTGTTACTTAGAAGCAGTCACCTCAGGGAAGATAGAGTTTTCCTGATAGTCATAATCCAGAAGTCAGCTCTGTCTTCGGAATCTTTTGCATTCTGTTCAGATGTTGATGATAATGAGCTTCCAGACCAAATGCTAGCTTTCTGATTTGTTAGTTTGGAAGGTTTCAACCCAAGTTCTAATACCCAAAACCCCAAAGAAGTAAGGCACTCACTGATTGAAACTGCACATTTTGTGATGGATATACTCTCAGAAGTTTTGTTTCTTCATATTTCACAGGTTTTAACCTGCCTATTTATGTTTGCTTGTACTGATTTAGAAACGACTAACATATTTGCTACTGGTAGTGGTGTGAAATTTCAGTGTTATGCAACATATTTTCATATTATTGAAATAATATCATCCCATAATGTAACTTGCAAGTTGTAAACATTACATGCTTTTCTTTACTTTTCTCACCTTTTATATCTATATTTACATTTCCAATTTACTCCTGTGGTTTGTTTGCCTGTCGTTTATGGTTTGTATTTCAGTGTAAGTCTTGTTTAACTTTTGCAGGACTAGGGCATGTAAGTAGGTCATGGCACTTTGCGAGACAGTAGTACTTCAGGTGGCAAACGACGTTTCATACCTTTTCGGATTGTCTCATGGTTGTCAGTTGACAGTAAGGAACCGATGTCGTTGCAGAAATAAAAAATGTCCTATCTGACCATCTCCAAATTTGCCAACTATTACGACCGTCAACAGTTGTGACAGCCAAGCATGGTTTTACACTTGGTCCGGTCTTGTAAAGTCATATTTGGCAGTCGCGCAATTTGGAACCAGAACTTTTCTTGAATATACACTTGTCACCAGTAATCTGGTACCGGAAGTAAGCTGGGCCCTGTCTCGCATATCGCCAGTTGGCGCGCACAAAGGGAGCTGGAAACCCGCTTTGTACCGGAAGTAGCGCCTCGCAAGACTTACAGGCCCTATTGTTGAGGGAAAGTAGGGGTAATGTGTATCCCTACTGCAGATAGTAGAACTGCTATGTTGAAACTGTATTATCAGCAGCTTTTAAACACTATACCTTTGATTCTTTTAGCTCACCTTGACATTTGAGCTTATGTTTTTGGTTTTGTCTATGATATTCAATAGAATAGTCATAATGCTCATTCACTTAGGGACCCTTCATAATTTATGGCTCGGTGGGTTGGGTAAGTGGGTGATGATGATATTTATGGAGAAGCATGTTCAATGTGAAAGACCCCCCTTAAATTTTATATACAAAGGGAGTGAAACCCCCTACACACACACTCCCCACCCCATGTCATGTCATGTACAAATTCAAGTAATCAATAAATTATGAATGGTCCCTTAGGTACGTATGTCTCTTGACTCAACAAAGATTTACATTTTGATTATTTCCAAATGTCTGTCCAATATCCCAAACAGCAAGTTAAGGAGATAGTTCTCATGACAAACTTTACATTGACGTGACTTTGACATCCATCTTTACTGTGCCAACATCTGACATACTTTCATTTTGTATCTCTCATGCCATAAGGCAATGTTTTGAAAGGGCTGGATAGGTATGGTGTTAGAAATGACACTAGTCATGGAGCCTTTACAAAACCCATCCTTGGTAAAGTATCTATGAATGAATTAATTAATAGATTGTGTAAACTGTTTCAGGGTCTTCCTACATATTACATCGTTATACAGACTTGTGTTTGATAACTTTATGTGCTGACATATACATCATATGTTAGTGAGTGGGTGGTGTCCGCTTGTCACGCCGATGATCCATGTTCGATTCCCACATGGGTACAATGTGCGAAACCCATTTATGGTGTCCCGAAGCCCATTTCTGGTGTCCCCTGTTGTGATATTGCTGGAATATTGCTTAAAGTTACATAAAACCATACTCACTCATTCACTCACTCATATAGTAGTGATGACATTTTGATAATTAAAATTGTCTGTCTACTTGATTCCCTGGATGGTCAAGTTGTGTTTGTGAAGTCCAGTCTTGGTGTCTTCCCTCTATTATCTTTCTGTCTGAAAAAGAGTAAAATGTTCAGCACATTGTTGCTGACTGGTGTTAATGGAGGTGAGCCACTCAACCATATTTTGGTACTCACATTAGACATGTCTCCTTTCTAAAAACAGGGTTGGAATGTTTGCTTTCAATCTTTGCACCTTGGCATGTGTACAAGCATGTTTGTGATAAGATCCCCAAAAAGATATCACATGTATGCAAGATTTGGTTGAGAGTGTAGCAGTTAAACTCTGTCATAATATGTCTTTTTTGTCAAAACCTAAACCCAAACGATTTCTTAGAGAAATTGAAACGTGATTATAAAACTGCTGAGTTTATGTTGTTGTGAGTTAGAGACGTTGATTTTCCTGCTTCAGTGTGTATGTTAGTATCCTTGGTAGTAACCCATGCATGTGTGCTTACCGTTATTCAGGTGTACAAAGTACAGGGTGGTCACAAAGTAAGTACACTCCTCTCTGTCTCTCATCTCTCCACCCACCCATCCCCATCACCCAACAACGTCACCCAACAACGTCATCGGTGTAGGCATCACATAGTGGATCTGACAGACATAGCAACACATGGCCCATCATGCATTCCACATAGCCCAACAAGTATGAGTCAAGGCCCTATGAGTTTTTGTTTTTGTTTGTTATTTTGTGCAGTAAACAATATTGCAACAGCATGAAGGCAGTCAGTACATAATCGACTCTGGAACAGACCATTCTCCCCACAAGCATCACACATAACCGAACAAGCATCACACATGGCCCCTCAGGCATTGGACATTGTCCAGGATGCATTCCACCAAGCACAGCAAGCAATGCATATTGCCTAACAAACGTCACATATGTCCCAGGAAGGAACTCTGCATTGTCCAGAATCATACATTGGCTGAGCATCACAAATGGAACAGCAAGTATTGAGCAGTGCCCAGAAAACATGACAAATGAGCAATCAGGCATCACACATGACTCCAGAGCAGTGATGCACTGTTCAGCATCAGACATTGCCCTGTATGCATTCAACATAGCCCAGCAAACTTGCCCCATGAAGCCTCACACATGGCCTTTCAATCATTACACATGACTTAACAAGTGTCACAAATAGCCAAGTACTTACCTTTTTGTCCCTGGAAGCATCAGTTGAGGCTAAGCAAGCATTCCACATTGCAACAAAAACAGCACGCATGCCCCGCAAGCATCTACATTGATGATCAAACATCACACACAGTCCATCAAGCATTACATAGTCCGTCAAGCATTTTATATTGCCCTTAAGGTATAGAAAATTCACAAGTGTCACTGCAAGTATCGCATACAAACAAACCTTAATTACCAATGGCTTGTCAAGCATTCTTCATTGCCTAACAACCATCACAGATACCTCCGCAAGTATTACGCATTGTCAATCAAGCATGAAACATACCCCAGCAAGCATCATGCACTGTCCAGTGAGTACACATGGCTTAGCAAGCATCACATGCCCCAGAAAATATTGTCCAGCAGGCATACATGATCCAGAAAGCATTGTCCAGCAGGCATACATGACCCAGAAAGCATTTTCCAGCAGGCATACATGACCCAGAAAGCATTGTCCAGCAGGCATACATGACCCAGAAAGCATTGTCCAGCAGGCATACATGACCCAGAAAGCATTGTCCAGCAGGCATACATGACCCAGAAAGCATTGTCCAGCAAGCATCACACATTGCCCAACAAGCAACCCATATGTAATATGTGGCCAAGCAAGCACTCCACATTGTTTCACAAGCATTTCACATTACCCATTATGCACCAGTTATGGCCCAGTAAGCATTACGCCCAACCAAGCAAGCATGTCCCAACTTCTGTCAAACATGGCTGTACAGTCATCACAGCCATCGACAGGATCCTCATCATTCTGTCAATGTCTCACAAATCATCTAACCAAGCCATCATCTCACTGTCTCCCATAGTTTTCATCAGGTACCAACTAGTCGGATCACATCCTGTAAACGGTGTATCAAATGCTGTTTGAGACAGGTTCCAGAAATCATCAGAAATCATATACATTTGATTCTCTCATCATTTACCCAGTGCATAACCTATCATTCGTCCTTTGCAGTCATTATCCTGTCATTGTTTAACATTATTCAGCCAATGAGCTGATGGCAAACATTCACAATATAGCATTGCATACCATGCAGCTTGGACCAACATTGTTTACACTTCAATGTGTAACTGTGATCATCATTCACAGACCCAGACTGACATGGAGAGATTAACATACTTTGATCAATACACATTCCTGGTCAAATACATTCATACTCAGCTCAACACACTCTGACTTAAGTCAACATGCTCACACAGGTCAACACACTCTGACTTCAGTCAACATGCTCACACAGGTAACACACTCTGACTTAAGTCAACATACTCACACAGGTCAACACACTCTGACTTAAGTCAACATGCTCACACAGGTAACACACTCTGACTTAGGTCAACATACTCACACAGGTCAACAGGTCAACACACTCTGACTTATGTCAACATGTCAACATGCTCACACAGGGTCAACACACTGACTTAAGTCAACATGCTCACACAGGTCAACATGCTCACACAGGTCTTTGACTTAAGTCAACATGCTCACACAGGTCAACACACTTAAGTCAACTGCTAAGTCAACATGCTCACACAGGTCAACACACTCTGACTTATGTCAACTTGCTCACACAGGTCAACACACTCTGACTTAAGTCAACATGCTCACACAGGTCAACACGCTCTGACTTAAGTCAACATACACAGTTCAACACATTCTGACTTAAGTCAATATGCTCACACAGGTCAACACACTCTGACTTAAGTCAACATGCTCACATTCATGTCAACACACATAAACACTGATCAACACTCCATTCCAATTCGACACACATAACTTCATTGACAATTACAGATCAAATACACAGATCCAGATCAACACACACCTCGAGATAGATCAGCACTTAGACCAGACGGATACGCACAGATCAGCCCATGTAGTCTCTAATTAACACACGCACGCACGCACACACACACACACACTTTGACTGACACCCTGATATGCGGATTGACACACACACACACACACACATACCGACATCAACACACTTATTCCTACATAAACACACTCATCCCTACACTGACAAAGTAACTCATTTCATAAATCCAGATCACAACTGGTTTTCACAGATCCATGACAGAACTCCTCCGTAAACACTCTCAAAGTCCCATCCTCTATACATAAAGGTTGCATAGCAACCAGACCCTCATATCTCCTCACAAAGCACTGATGCTGACGCAGCCTCTGTATATATACCCTTAATACCACCAAGCTGTAAGTATCCCATACCAATCATGGCTACAACATTGTAATCACATCATCCATAGCATAACAAAACACTTAGCTCTGTAGGCTAATTCCTAGATGTAGAAATATACAGGATATGTACATATATATTCATAGGGTAGAACTATTATTTTGCATATTTGTCATGTGTGGTTTATATTTCAATGAACATAATATTTTCAGAAGTCTTGCAAGAATTTCTAAGACAATACATGTAATTTCATACATATATGTGTATATGCATATCTGTTTTATGATGCAATATATATCCCTTACTTAGTTCCTGTATGTTGCTGAAATTGTTGGCATATTGTTTTGATCTTGTACAAATTGTCCATTCATATCCCAAATTTCACTGCCATTCCCTGTGAGACAAAGATGGGACAGGGTTGTCTCCCGTCTGGGACAGAGTTGTCTCCCTTATACCAGCTGTGGAAGCTGTTTCACCTCTCTTCTCTCTCTCTCCTCAGTTCTATCACATGCAAGCAAACAACTGTCTACAGTACCCATCTGCAAGTTGACACATTCACATTTTGTTAAAGTTAACTGTTTCATGCTCCTCGTGGAGTGGTCGTTAATCTAACAAAGTTCTTTGAGGTTTTGTTCTTCACTACTGGCATTTTGTACACTGATAACAATATGAATGATGGAAGTGATGGTAAATTTACAAGTTCCTTTGAGCAAATTTGTAGGACTCTGATTGATGGCAGATTTCATGGCATAATTTCAAATTCTATGTATATGTATATCGTTCAAATTTTATGATTACCTACCCAAGATGCTACCAACTGGATATTTTTGGTACTTCACTTTTCACTCTTATTAGGCCAGACCAATTTTATTTCTTCTTTTACGGATTTTTGTCCTCAGAAAACCTAAAGGCAGGAGGGAAAATAAATAAAAATAAAATTACCAGTCAAAGTAATATACCTTAAATACTCAAAGTATTTTACATTTGGCAATTCATGAAGTGTATATTTGGCCAAAAACAATGTAAAAATAAATAATTTTGTAAGTTTACATTTTTGGCCAATAAAAACATTAGGATTTTATTTTTTCAGCAGAGAAATTATTTTATGTTTTTTCTTATTCTTGAAAAAATATGACAGGCGGATCCATAAAACAAGAAATAAAATTGGTCTGGCCTTAGCGTCTATTATAAAAGATGTCCTGCTGAAAAAGTGTTTGGGAGCACTTGATTCTTTCATATTACTAAAGTTAGTGACAGAACCAGGTGGTCCTTAAATGGTTTTGAGTAGTATAGAAACAATGGAGAACTAAGCATCCACCACCGATCTGAGCCTTGCCATCGATTGGAGTCCTACATCTTTAAGGTAAATGATTTATTCCACTTATTAAGTACATAGCCACAAAGAACTAATGCAACAAATACAGTGAACGTTTGTTCAAATACAAAATGATCATCAGCCATCCTTTTCTGAGTTGACGGTTATGGGTTGGAGGTTGTAAATGAATGTGTATGTACCATGGAATACCTTTGGTTCAGTTGGAGAAGTATGCTTTTTATAACTGCTGTTGAATAAAAGGCACTGTCCTGCACCAGAGACTAAAGACTGAAGTAATGATAATAATCATATACTAACTTGAAGTTAATGATAAGTATCATACTCTCGTAATTCTTAAATTTTGGTTTTTAGAAATTATGATGAATATTTTAATTTGTCAACGACAAGTTGTTTTATGTTTTAGTTTGTGTTTTGTTGGTGGATCATTTTCTGTTTGTTGAGCCGGAGTTGTGAGCTGCATGGTGGAACACTAACAAGCACATGTGGTGTTTAAACTGAGCACGTACTGCGGTTTGCAGCCTGATGAACAAGCAGTTCAGTCCCAAGCAGCATACATGTCAGCTTTTATGCAATAGTTTAGGGTATAATGATTTCTGCAGACATATATTCTAGTTCTGATCGTAGATATAGTGAAACCTTTTTAACTTTGAGTACTGGAGAGTGGTGCGGTGGGGTAGCCTAATGGTTAATGCGTTGGCTCGTCATGCCAAAGACCCGGGTTCGAATGCCCACATGGGCACAATGTGTGAAGCCCATTTCTGGTGTCCCCCGCCGTGATGTTGCTGGAATATTGCTAAAAGCGGCGTAAAACCAAACTCAGTCAGTCAGTAGAGTACTGGAGAACTTTGCCAACATTGTTTAGTTTGAGACATGTAGACTGCAAGCATGGTATGAATGATGTGGGCGTTGGTTCAAATTTGAATTGCAGCATGCATAAAAGCTAAAAGAATAAAGTTTCTTAGAATATCCCCAGCACTCTATTGGTGAGTGAGTGAGTGAATGTTGCTTAATGCTGCATCAGCATTTTAGCTGCTATTTGCATTGACCATTGGTCACATAGTATGTGGTGACCACATCAGAATGTCTGATCAGACTGTGTGATTGATTGCACGCCATTGCTCATGATGGGGTGGGACATTACACAAAATATCAACCATAAATGCATGGATTACTGCTCACACTATGACACACAGATGCTGAGGTGGCACAGTTGTTCACTCATCACAGCAGAGGCAGGGTTTGAACCCCGTGTCTGGTGTCCTCAGTAACTCCAGACATGGGATTTTGGTTCCAGATGGTACAATACCGCCAGCACATTTCTGGTGTCCCCTTCGGGTGTAATACCACACTCAAAGATTCCTGAAGATCAGGATTACAGTTTATTACAATTTGTAAATTAAAGCCTTTCGGAACTGACATGTATGCTGCTGAAACTAACACAAGTAACCGTGGTAACAGATGATGGGATAAATGCTGGTACCTACACAAATGTTGGTTGTGTGTTTACATTTCAGGAAGTGCAGTTTTGTTACAGTATTGGTTTTTATCTCAAATATATTTCTTTCATTATCATGTTGGTATTTAAAATAACATGGTGCCTTTTTTTCTTTTCCAAGGTGTAAACACTGATATAATTAAAAAAATTGCAATATGAATTATGTCACCCAATGTGTATTTCAACTTTGACATATATATAGCTTATGTGAAAATGATTTTATATAGATGTAAATGTCCTGTCAGGAACATTCTAATTTGTTTATATCTTCATCTGTGATAGAGATGTATTTGTCATGTTATTATAATGATAGTGCATGTAAGATGTGTAATATATATATGTATATATAAGAACGATTTTATAGTACATTACAGTATTGTTGGATATCCTTTTTATGGCAGGTTATGGAGGATGGAAATGTTATGGATTAAGCCTCTTGCTCATTTCTAGGCTATGTAACATCAGCTTTAACACTGACATTTATTTGGGTGATATATACTACTTTGAACCTCCCACAATGTATCCTGGCTTAATGTGTTCCCCGCTAAATGTGTGAAAGTGAGTGAATGAGTGAGTTTAGTTTTACGCCACACTCAGCAATATTCCAGCTATATGGTGGCGGTCTGTAAATATTCAAGTCTGGACCAGACAATCCAGTGATCAACAGCATGAGCATCGATCTACGCAATTGAGTACCGATGACATGTGTCAACCAAAGTCAGCAAGCCTGACCACCCGGTCCTGTTAGTCGCCTCTTATGATAAGGATGGGTTACTGAAGATCAATTCTAACCGGATCTTCACAGGTTGGGGATTCTGAGATGGAATGTTCCCACTACCTGATGTTTCTCTGAGGACATGACTGAAATGATGATCAAGTGGTAGCATTGCACGACCTGGATGATTGTATGTCCTTGTACCATAGGTCATTGGTCATGCTTTCAACCACTGGATTGGAAATGCCTGAATGGATTGTTTACAAGATGTGGGGTGGTGGGGTAACCTAGTGATTAAAACGTTCGCTCGTCACACCAAAGACCCGGGTTCGATTCCTCACATGGGTACAATGTGTGAAGCCCGTTTCTGGTGTCCCCCGCCATGATATTGCTGGAACATTGCTAAAAGCGACGTAGAACCATATTCGAGTCAGTTTACCAAATGCCTTGATACTGTGGGACCTTCGGTGTCTCTTTAAATTGGTTCTTGCTAACACTGCCGCATATATCTGTGTCTTCTAGTGATTAGTGTTAATATTTTCTGAAACTGTTGTTGCTTTGATGTTGGCTTTCATGAAGCTAATTGTCCATGGAGCCACAAATGGCAGCCTGATCAACAGCACAGTTGCAACCAAGCCCATGGTCATTTTGCTGTTGTTCTTTGTAACATGCATAATGTTTGTTGGTCTACTTGCAGCAAGCTGGGCAGGCTGACCAATCATCTGGACACAATCAACCACCGGCCAAGAAAGTCCGAGTTATGCCACCTTCAACAACAAGCAGTAATATGGTAGTATCTCATGTTTGCTCCAAATATATAGGAGAATTGATTCATGTGTGGGAAGTGTGGATTTTCTTTTGTCTGTGTGCTTACATTATCTTCACTGTTTGTATGTCTTTTCTGCCTTCTCTAGAATTGAGTCATGTTCAGGTTAATCCAATATTTTCACTGTGTATGTCCAATATCTTGTCTAAGTCCCATATTTTCTATGTAAATAACTCATGTTCAGGTTAATGGTTACAATATTTTCACTGTGTATGTCCAATATCTTGTCTAAGTACATCCACCATATTTTCTATGTAAATCCAGTGTCTCTTCCAACTATGTCCAATACCCTCTCCCAGTATATCCAGACCGCCTCCGTGGTGTAGTGGTTAGAGTGTCCGCGTCCACCGGGAGAATTCCGGAAGGTCAATGTGTGAAGCCCGATCCCCGACCGCTGTCATACCAACTGGAATATTGAAGTTAAAATATGGTACTTGGTGGTCCCTGTCTGGCGCTCGGCATTAATGGGTACAACAAGGACTGGTCAGCTCTGAGTCAGTATAATGTGTCTGAGTGGGGTATTCATGCTTCACTGCGGCATGGTATCTCAGTGGGCTAGCACTATAAAACCAGCTTCAGTCTGGGCTAGGGTACAAGCAGCATGCACATCTCAGTGGGCTACACTATAAAACAGCATACACAAGCAGCCGCATGCACGCCGCGTCGTCATATGAGCGAAATATTCTCAAGCACGACGTTAAACCCAATTTCACCTCACCTCCCGGTATATCCATTATCCAGTATGTTACCACTGTTGTCTATTCTGCAGGTTCACAACATGCACGGCCAACAACAGCAAGGCATGGCCTTCTCCACCAACAACACCCAGACATCCTCGTCAGGATCAACCTACATGGGAAGATACTGACGCTTGCTGCAGGGACAACATGAACAACACAAGCCAGCGGTTCTTCCAGGTAGCTGTACCTGCTTCAGAAGGGATGGGAGCAGGAGATGCTTTGCTGCTTCATACATGATGTTGTGGTCCCACCTTGTTTAGGGAGCATAGTTCTACATCATTGGTGCATTCCTTCTGTATGGATCAGTTCAACATGCTGGGGTTATTTCAGATATCTGATTTTTGTGTCACACTTTCACAAGCACACAACGAAAGCCTGTAGATGTTATGCAGTGATTTCTGAACACAGATTTCAACAATAATTAATTATCAGCAATCTCATCTCCAGGATATCTTATATCAGTTCTGCATTTAAGGGTACATTTAATTTGAATAATACAAGAATCTGTGGAATATCTTAACAAGAAAGAGAATGTTTTTGCTGAAAAAGTGTTCCCCTTCCACATTTATTATCCTTTGCTATTATTGATATGTGATCAACACTATTTCTGTACTTTAAAATGTCTTTAAATTATTATATATATCTACTTTACTTTTAAAGGTAATATCATTTGTCCCACTGGCACAGGTCTTTCTTTGAAAGCATACTTCATTAATGTATTCTGGACGGAGTATTTCAATGGGAAAGGTCCATATGGACCCAAAGGAACAGTACTTAGTATCTGTGATTCATATGTCCACGAATTTGAGACAATTCTCAATCTGCATTGTGTAGTGGTGGATAGTTTGCTTCCCATCTTGCTGTTTGTTCATTCAATGTGAGAAGTGAAGCAAGGTGTCTCTTACAAGGGACTATGCTCCACCACATGGTGGGGATATCAGCAGGTGGTAGTGCAAGATTGACATACAGGATTTGGACAACAAGGTCACAGGAAAATGAACATCTGTCAACTCATCACAAACATAGTGTAATGTTGTGAGTGAAAAATGAAGATCCAATTTACTCTTTCATGTTTCTTTACAATCAAACAGGGGGTGGTGGGTAGCCTAGTGGTTAAATGGGTACAATGTGTGAAACCCATTTCTGGTGTCCCCCGCCGTGACATTGCTGGAATATTGCTAAAAGCGGCATAAAACCCAACTCACTCATTACAATCAAACACCCATCTTGGAAGAATGTTAAGTCAGAACTGTTGGATAGCTCAGTGGATACTGCTATTCGGCAGATGTAGGTATTGATCCCCCTGTTCATTCAAGGCTTGTGGGTAGCCTAGTGGTTAAAGCGTTGACTTTGTCATGCCGAAGACCCGGGTTCTATTCTCCACATGGGTACAATGTGTGAAGCCCATTTCTGGTGTTCTCCGCCATGATGTTGCTGGAATATTGCTAAAAGCGGCGTAAAACCCAACTCAGTCAGTCTGTCAGTGTTGTGATATTGCTGGAATATTGCTAAAAGTGGCGTAAAACCATACTCCCTCACTTACTCCTTCATGGCTTCATCCTGTGCCAGTTGGTCAAGCTCATAATGTCCACTAATGGCTTGATCCGGAAAACTGTAGCTGAAAACCATGAGTCTGTAAGTTCTCTATTGTCTTCTGTTGTTTGTATTTTACTTTATGTGAAAAAATAGAACTCCGCTGTTAGTAGTTACAGTTGAAGTAAAAATAAATTCAATAGTTTTTAACATCAAACCATTCATAAATCTGTTATTTTACAAAAGAGAGAATGGCAGCAGAACTGTCACGAACTAAGGGACCGTTCATAATTTTTGGCTAAGGGGGTGATGATGATAATTATGGAATGTGAATGACACACCCTCCCCCTCCTACAATTTATGTACAAAGTAAGTGGAACACACACACTCGCCTCTCTTTTCCCCCCACCCCCCACCCCCACACACAAGTCATGTACAAATCAATGACTAATACATGTGTACAAAATTGATCACCCCACCCCATCCCCGCCTCACCAGAACAAAATGGGTGACCCCCCTTAAAATCATCACCATCCCTACTAGCCCTATATTAGGAACTGTCCCTAATACTCACCATTGTTTAGATTTGACACTAATTGAAACTCCAGGGCTACTTGAAACTTCGTGGACTGGTATTTCTAGAGATCTGTGTACTAACATATGTCTTCTTGAAATGCAATCATGAATATGTTGAAGATGAAAGACAAATTGTTGGCAATTGCTTCAGTTATGTGGACTTGGACACTTGTCCAAATTGTGCACAATTCTTGAAGAAACAAAAATGGACATTTAAATTATGAACCATATTATAACTCCTGTGCTTGATGTAAGGTATCTTAATTTCCTTAAAACTGCTAAAATATCAAGCCGCCATGTTAATGAATTACAGTTGTTTTTTACATGAAATATGTGCTTGACTCCATGACTGTGTTAGTGCTGCAGGGATTTCGGGAGGCTTCAGTGTTGTGAGGGAAAGTATCGGTTGTAGGTAGTTGTTCATAATGTGGAAATATATGTCGGGCAAGATCGATCTGTAAATAATAATAGGAATAAAGATGTATCAGTTAGACTCAGTGTTCTCAGTTGTCTATCAATAAAGTCGAAAGAAGGAATTGCATCAGACGTCATTTTAGTAACTGCTGCATGAAATTTCAAGTTGTGAATATGTGTACTACAGGCTTTGTAATTACTCGTGAAGGTCCGGGTTAGAATATTGATCTTCAGTATCCCATGCTTGTCTAACGGGATCGAGTGGTCTGACTTTGTTGACAGGTCATCGTATCCCAACAGCTTAAAGCAATGTTCATGCTGTTGATCACTGGATTGTCTGGTCCAGACTCGATTATTTACAGACTGCCGGATTATAGGTGAAATATTAAATCATCCTGCATCCGATATGTCTGCAGATGCGGTAGGATAGCTAAATTGTTGAATCTCTTGAAGGCCCAGATAAGACCCAACACACGTGTAAAGCCCGTTTGAACTCTCTAGCCCCCCCCAAGTGTGTCAGTAGTGTTGCAGGCAACGCATGGTCATAAACCATCTCTACTTGTGGATGACGGAGTTGAGTGGCAGTGTGACGAGAGTGACAAAAGCACTGGTATCCACTGGTACCTTTTTTCAGCGCAAGAGCTCCACAAAAGTGACTGTTTCAAAAACAAACAAACAGCCACTTCACAATATTGTGAAGGCCCCAGAAGAAAGTACGCACCATCAAATATTTCGAGTGTCGCACCACCCGTTTGATGAAGTGCGTACCTGCTACAATTTCTTACCAGATTAAAGCACCTTGCCTCTACCTGACAGGAATGGGAATCTACAGGTATTTCCGCTCTGTACAAAACGTCTTGTTTGAGGAACAATTGCAGAGGGTTCTTCGAAGCAGCCTCCTGTAGTAAGGCAGCTGTAAATGAACACTTTTCGTTGGGGAAAATGCATCTCCTCCATTGAGACTTCATACTTGTATGAGGCGACAAACGCGATCGGTTGGCCAGGCTCACTGTCTGCATGTCATCGTATCCCAATTGCGCAGATTGATGCTCATGATGTCAATCACGGGAATCTCTCATTAAGACTCTATTCTTTACAGACCGCCGTCATATTGCTGGAAAATGGCTGAGTGCTGCGTTAATTTAGAAATTAGAAGAACTTTCAGACAAACACATGCTTGATCATTTGTAGTTTGTTTTTATAAAAGTACTACGAACACAGGTAAATGAGAAGCTTTTTATTGACGTCAAGATTAAGACTTTGATAAAAAGCTCCGTTGGGATACTCATGTTCGTGTGTATGAGTATTAACCTATTTGGAATCTTTTATACATAGAACAAAATTGATTATATATTCATCCAGACATAATAAAGTATGAAATCTAACTATTCATTTCTGACAATATACTCAACGATCCGTTTTGAAGCTGCAAACAATAATACGAATAATATTTCAAAGAGTGAGTGAGTTACGTTTTACGCCGCACTCAGCAATATTCCAGCTATATGGCGGCGGTCTGGAATATTGTTGAGTGCGGCGAGTGGACCCGACAATTCAGTGATCAACAGCATGAGCATCGATCTGCGCCATTGGGAACCGATGACATGTGTCAACCAAGCCAGCAAGCCTGACCACCCGATCCCGTTAGTCGCCTCTTACGACAAGTATGGGTTACTGAAGGTTCATTCTAACCCGGACCTTCACGGGTTGATGAGAGAAAGAAAGTATGGTTCTTTATTCAAACTTCGTCTTATCGACGTCACAGTTCTGGTTCATCATTTAAAATAATACGCATGCTCTTTTTAAAGAATGTACTATATCCTAATCACTGTGTTTAGTTCCACAGCTTATTGATTCAACAGAGAAGTAATATACATTATCTTAATAGTTGGGACTAATACTAGGATTCTTTACGTTCTCCACACCGCTGGTGGTATACAGCTTTCATGCGTATTTAAGTTCAGGCAAAGGTTTTCAAAACAACGTCACAAATTTCATTGATATATAGTTGACAGTTTTACAAATTTACGATTATTTGACAAAGAAATTGTATCCTGATACTGGCTGAAACGGACACTGGAAATGGGTAAACAAGTTGAATTATTATGTTGACACTTGTCAAAGCGTGGAGTTATATATAGAGGTGTGCAACAGGGTTGCTTCATACACCCAGTCCTTTTCCTACATCCTGATTACGAACAGCTCCTGTTTAAAAATGCTGAAGACTGTTATTCTGGCTGTTGCTGTGGTCCTCATCGGTAAGTTCCTTTAAACTCATTCTATTGGACCTAAATATTGGCAATATTCGCTAAACAGGTACGTAATTTACACCGTGGATGAGGAAGCGATACGTAAAATTGTCAATAACTGTATTGCTTTGTTAAATGCTTCCTTTTCGGTCAAATAATGTTCTTACAAATGTCAACTCTCCAACTTCAGCATTCGATTGTAACATGATAATGAATTGATCGACAAAATATTCAAAGCCACAAAATACCATTGATTCCGACTTGGTGGTAAGCATACGCTTATAAATCACTATCAAATAGTTTGCCGAAATGGTCCTGCCCCACCAATGGTGCCCTATCGCAAATATACGGACAAACATGGTTTGTTAACCTGAACAAACATACTTTTGGTACAAATCAAATAAGTCTCGGACATCGAAGAAACCTTGAGCACGTGTCGTTGAAGGGTCTTTGAAATCTTCGCAGACAGGGCATGCTCAGTTCTGTTAAAAAGCTGCATAATGTAACACTGTGTTTTGTATGATGCTGTATAAGGGTGATACGTTCACAGCATTCTTGTTCGATCTGAACAGCAATGTAACCTGGTGTTAACGGACGAAAAAGCAGAAGCAACATGGTACAAGGGTTCACAATTTATATGGGAACATCGCTAACGACAAACTGAATATTACTTGGAATGTAACGTATATCTCATTCATTACGTGTTACATATGATAGCCTGGACTGGTGTGGATGTGTGAGGTGGGATTAACGCAGCTTCGACAAGTATTCCAGTTACAACCAGTGTCCGAAATAGCCACTGGCCCGCTAGTCCGTGGCTAGTAAAAATCTAGTCGGGCCTGTAAATCTCTGGCCCGATTGGCTAGTGAATTTTCATGGGGTCATTTTGTAAATATATCACTCTCTCCGACTTATTTCATTTATTTGAGCATAAACAAAATATTTCAGAAATTCAGACGTGTTTTTCGTATTTGGTTTTGATGGTATTTTACCTTTTTGTAATCGTTTGCTTGGTTTCTACATTCAAATTTCGGGCTAGTGAAATATTTTATGGTATAGTAACTTTCAGGCATGTCTAGCCCGACTGACCAGCAAAATTTGGAAACTGTTTCGCACACTGGTTACAACACGACATACCAGCTTAATGTTGCAGGAAAGTTGGAAGGGATGCAAGTCTCGGACCTTTACCACTTTGTGAAACCCACGAGCTCTTGTATTGTACTGGCAACCCAAGTATCGGGATTCGAACCCATTGAACTATACAGAGTATTATATTATATAATATTATCTAATACAAAGTGTTCATATCCAGCTGGCGCCGAAGACGAGTGCCTCAGGGCATGTCCGAGAAACTTAAGTCCTGTCTGCGCTACGTTCACCAAATCCTATGGGAATGAATGTATGATGAAGGCTGACGCCTGCAGGTGAGCTACCGTAGCAAGGGTGCTTGATCCATCTGCTTGTAACTACATGTTATTGTGTATATGACCGTTTGCAAAACCCTGAACATATACCGCAAGCGCGGATGCAGATCGTTTTAAAGAATTGGTACACCGTTGTTGTTTTCTATAAATGCTGAATGAATGCAAACACTTCTTTGGAGAAAACATTAATTGATATGATTCTCAAAGATTCAGTTACTTCCGTATGTGTGTTAACGCAATTAGTATGCTTACAAAAAGAGAAAGAGTGAAGGTTGGAGGTGTTCACCCCGCGCACACCCTTTCCTCTCCATCCCGATTGACGTACGGGGATCCAGTAGATTGATATCTCTGAGTGTGAGGCTACTGCCTTGGACTGCATACATGCGCTTAGTAATAAAGTAACTGACAAAACTCGTTTCTCACAGAATGTCGACAATTACGCTGAACCACCTTATATGTTTGTGTGTATTTTCAGCCTGGCAAAGCAAGGCGTCCATCTTATGACTAAGACGGACACCGTGTGCAGCTGTGAAAGGGCGTGTCCCTTCCTCCTCAGCCCCGTATGTGCCACGGACGACGTCACATACGACAACGAGTGCCTGATGAGCGTGGCAGCATGCAAGTGAGTAGTGCAAGAGATTACCGTACTGATGCAATAATGGCGCTCTTGTATTTTCCAACATTCTACTGGTAGAGACATAGAGTAACTGAATTTCCAGTATAGTATCTAAGTGAACATCGAGATTATCGAATTTCTGTAAGGCAGCATGTCGTTGTCATGAGCTTTAAGTGTTGTGTCTTTTGTTTTCAACATTTCTGGAGGTTTATATCATAATTATTTTGTTTTCAACATTACTGGAGGTTTATATCATAATTATTAATACCAGTCTGATTTTAATCGTTTTTGTTCTTGTTACAGACAAAACAAGTGGTTGGAAGTGAAGAGTGCTGGCAAGTGCCCAACCGAGAACTAATGACCACATTGCCAGGCAGAGCTGAGCCATAGTTGCAAGAATACATTAATTGATACATTTATGGGTTAAATTGTAATGTAAATTTCAAGTGTGTGCATGCGGATTCTTTATGGTATATCAATGGGCTCATCGTAAAAGTTAATGTGATAATGTGTATAGTGTTAACCATGTTTTTCTGATTTGGAATATGGAATAAACAAATTGATTTAAGAAACGTGTTTCTTTCGTATGTTTTTAAACGCAGTATATCTGTAAGTGAGTGTCCATTGCAACTGACGTTTGTCAAATATACTACCCATCAAACGTTTAGAGGGGCGGTGGGGTAGCCTAGTGGCTAAAGCGTTGGCTCGTCACGCCGAAGACCCGGGTTCGAATCCCCACATGGGTACATTGTGTGAAGCCCATTTCTGGTGTCCCTCGCCGTGATGTTGCTGGAATATTGCTAAAAGCGGCGTAAAACCAAACTCAGTCAGTCAGTCAGTCAAACGTTTAGACTCCCTTAAAGCACTCACCACATGTTATGCATATATGTGTGGTTACATCGAAGATGAATTTCTCCACTAACTTTGGGGAACCAACTGCAAACTTTATGCAGATGAATTGCACGAGGATCATGCATTAAATTGCTAAAAAGCATGTGCAAATATCGTGCATGTGAACAGCTGTGTTGTGGTGTAAAAGTTTGTTAAAAATTCGCCAATTTTCACTCAGTTTCATCATTTTTTAACCCATGACAATAATCTTTTCAACGTTATGAATTTGTTTTACAATACATCAGTTCATGTGTAAACAGTACCTTTAAACAACATGGAAAATGTTGCAAAATCTAGTTTAGAAAAGTTGACTTAAGTAAGTGGCTACATTTACACTAGTGAGTCTAAACGTTTGATGGGGAGTATATGTCTCAGCTAACCCAGTGGTGGTGTCAGGACAAGTTGATAATTTCATGCCACATCACTAATGTGATTCTTAAAATGTCATTGTAAATATGAGGTGATTTGCTTCTATTTTGGTAACTGAGCCCGTGGTGTCGTGGACAGAGTGACGCAGAAGTTCGATGGTTCGAACCTCTTACCGTATCAGACCAAAATATGGCACTTGCTACCCTATATTGGGCTTGCCATTAAGAGGATATAACAAACCATGGGGCGTCCATGTCGAATTACGGCGTGGTTTCTCAGTAAGCTGGCACCTTACAACCGGAAGAAATCAAGACTATTGCAAGCAGACACACACAAACACGCACGCCCGCACGTACGCACGAACACACACACACACACACACACACATTCTCATCTTACATTATCTCACCATAGACAACGATGGAAAGTGCATAATATTTTTTTACCTCGTAAGTTTTCAAAATGTTAAAGTTTTGTATTCTAACGTATACTAAAATTTGAAGTTAAGTACAGATTTAAGTCCTGTCTGAGATTATTCGAGCTGCGAGAAGCAGTTGCAACTTTGGCTGTAGAATAGAATAGAATAGAATAATACTTTAATGCCTTTTCAGGAATTTGTGTTACATCAGCAGAGCTACTGACACATTAGAGAGATACCAAACATATTTACATAAATTCTTTGATTTAGGTATCTTCACATTTGTTTAAGAGAGAGATGTGGTACTTGGAATAAAGGATGTACAGGCTCTCTTAGTTTTCACAATTGGAACTTTGTAGCGGCGGCCTGAAGGGAGGAGGTTGTATTCCGAATTTAAGTAGTGAGTACGGTCAGATATGATTTTGACAGCTTGATTCACGATTTGCCGCTCATATATTGATGATAAACATTCAAATCTGACTCCAGCGATTTTACTTGCAGTGTTAACAATTTTGTCTATTTTAGATTTGAGATGAACTGAGAGAGACCCGTACCAACAATATCAGGAAAATGTTAAAATACTCTGAATAAATACTACATAAAAAAGATGAGTTAACATTAAAAGATCTCAGTTTACGCATGAGATGAACACGTTGTTGACACTTGTTGTATAGGGCTTCAGTGTTAGAGTTCCAGTTCAGCTTAGAGTCAATGAAGGTTCCCAGATACTTATACTCCGACACTGTCTCAACACATTCACCGTTGATAGTTAGTATTTATATGTGTAGTGCATCATACAGGTTGGCAAGCTGCCAGGCTTAGATGTGTCTTGAAATACTCTCAACGAAAATGTCAATACTGGCTGCTGAATCAGAACACCGCTAGCCGTTGAGTGAGTGAGTGAGTTCAGTTTTACGCCGCATTCAGCACAATATTCCAGCTATATGGCAGCGGTGTGTAAATAATCGAGTCTGGACCAGACAATCCAGTGATCAACAGCATGAACATCGATCTAATCAATTGGGATACGATGTCATGTGTCAACCAAGTCAGCGAGCCTGACCACGATCCTGTTAGACGCCTCTTACGACAAGCATGGGTTACTGAAGATCTTCCGGATCTTCACGGGCGGCTAGCTGTTGAATGGCGTTGGGACTGATCTGGGATGCTTGATACCCAAACCGTGGAGTGACATGCAGTCACTTAGTTTCTAATACAACATATTTATTCGCGCGGCATCCTGTAATTTTGAATTATACTCTACAATAAATAGAACGCAAAAGTGGTTTCCAGATGTATACTTTATGTATTATATAAATAATCACCTGATCATAACACATTGTTCAAATGTGGCACAAGTTACTGTCGTTGACCGAGGTTCATAATGGCACTCATGAAACACTGGAATGTCAAGGTAAAGGTCTTTTCTCAGTATCTTGAATGGCCCCATGAGAGTCCAGAACTGCCTGACACCGTTGCTCCATGGAACCAGTAGTATAACTGAGTCAGCTTGTGGTCCGGGAAATATTCACCCACTCCTACAGTGTTTGTGCCAACTGTTGGAGGTTCTGTGGCTGTTGCTGACGTTCCCGAAGACGATGATCAAGAGCATCCCCTAACTGTTTGATGGTGTTTACATCTGGAGACCTTGAGGGCCATGGCAGTATTTGGATGTTGTGGTTCCTCAAAAATGCCGTTGTCAGTCGTGTGTGTTGTGCGTCGTGTCGTGTTGAAACATTACGTTTGCTTGTCGCATAATGTGTAAGACGCGTGGCCGAAGAATTGCTCACATCACACACACTTGTATGCAGTCTCGACCAGAATGTTTCTCGACGCCATTCGTCTGTTCGGAGCAGCAAACAACTTGACTCGTCCCTAAACACGTCTCCATCGCGATACTCTATCTCAATGACACCATACTCTATATCCATGGAACCATACCCTGTGTCCATGACACCATACTATGTCACGACACCATACACTGTGTCCATGACACTATACTCTATGTCCAGGACACCATACTCTATGTCCTGGACACCATACTGTCTCCATGACACCATACCCTATGTCCATGACACCATACTCTATGTCCATGACACCATACCCTATGTCCATGACACCATGCTCTATGTCCATGGCACCATACTCTATGTCCATGACACCATACTCTATGCCCATGACATCATACCCTATGTCCATGACACCATACCCTATGTCCATGACATCATACTCTATGTCCATGACACCATACCCTATGTCCATGGCACCATGCTCTATGTCCATGACACCATGCTCATGACACCATACTCTATGTCCATGACACCATACCCTATGTCCATGACATCATACTCTATGTCCATGACACCATACTCTATGTCCATGGCACCATGCTCTATGTCCATGACACCATGCTCATGACACCATACTCTATGTCCATGGCACCATGCTCTATGTCCATGACACCATACTCTGTGTCTATGACACCATACTCTATGTCCATGGCACCATACTCTATGTCCATTACACCATACACTGTGTCCATGACACCATACCCTATGTCCATGACACCACTGACGTCGCAGCCGACGATGCTGGTCAGTCAAAATGACGATTTGAACTGGTCGCCTCGGGCAATGATCTGCGATGATATCTGAGCTGAAATCCCAGTATAACTGTTGCTGTTGACGTGGCAGTGGTGAGTCTGTTATGTAAGTGACGACACAGGGGCTTATTGCTGAAAATAATTGCGTCCTAGGTCTAACACTCGTTCACTGACTACTTCTGTATATGTATATGGCTATCAGTGAACGGATGTTGCACCTAGGACGTATTATTTTCAGCAATACAAGCCCCTGTCAGGCGTGTTGCAAGCCAGTATTTTCGTGTACGACCGATAGGTTGCAAAGATTCATATTTAGATAGTATTGAGGACTTGCCCAACCATTTTAGCAACAATCATGTGTAAGCCTGAGCTTTTTTTGTTATAATGGTAGCTATGCCCCTGCCTGTGAGTGACGAACCAGTATGAACCTGTCTTGCGTTATGTTGTGAAGAGTGGTCGACTGGGTCTGGGTAGGGTAGTTGTTGACATCTGATAACGGTTCCAGTCTTGTAATGACGTCTGGTGACACGTGGAAAAACTTGGCAACGGTGGAAGCCGTGTCGTCTGCAGTCGGCCGATGGCGTTGTTCTTTTGCTCTTCTGTCAGCCGTGGCATGTTTTCACATTTCATTTGCTGCACAATGTCCTGTACTTGACGGACAAATGAAAATCCATCGTTGTCATAGCCTAGCAATTCGTGTTGCACATTCACTTTCATGTTGGTGTATTTGGCCACCATGCTCCCTCGTGGCTGAGGTTTCGCGTTTCCCACACTTTTTATGTATTTTTTGCCACACTCTATTCTACTCGAACAAATTTCTCCCGATGCATGCAGACATAAGAAATTCATATTTGGTATTAATGTTTATGCATATCACCAAAACTAAAAGCATTGTGACATCACGGGCAGAGTTAACAGTTACGGTCCTTTAGTTCCACCTGATGATGGGTCCAGAACAAGCCCTGAAACGTTGTACCAAACAATAAAAAGAAGATGAAACCCAGAAAATTTCTCTATGTTCATCAAATAGCATCTTCTAAATTGCCAATCAAACATCCACTAACACCAGTCAGATATTTCCAATTTTCCTACTTTGGCGTTACTTAATTTACAAAGTATATTTATTGATATCAACAGAAGAATTAAAGATTGCAATGATGTTATCATATGTAATTAAAATAAACTTATTCCATATACAAACGCTTTTACGTGATATCAATAAATTGTTGATAATATTACATGAGGAAAACATAGTTTAACAGCACAGCGTATAGACGATAGCGATAGAGTGAGGGTATGAAGTTGTACTGAATGACTTGTACCGTTTGAGACAGGGTTGAGTTGTAATGTACGGGAGAGAGAACCATCACTTGTACAAAGTTAAACCCTCAGTCAGAGAATATGGAGTTGTGCCGTCTGTGAGTGAGTGACGGAGTTTAGTTTTACGCTGCACTCAGCAATATTCCAGCTAACTGGCGACAGTCTGTAAATAATCGAGTCTGGACCAGACAGTCCAGTGATCAACAGCGTGAGCATCGATATACGCGATTGGGATACGATGACACCCGATCACGTTAGTCGCCTCTTACGACAAGCATGGGTTACTGAAGATCAATTGTAACCCGGATCTTCACGGGTTCTGCCGTCTGTGAGAAGGCTCTGAGTTGTACCTTATGAAAGAGAGTATTGAATTTTATTACCCACACGTGGTCAACGTATGGGTAGTTGCATATTAATCTCGTACGTCACACGAGTGTCGTATCGTGTTGACCTGTGTCGTAACGACTTGACCTGAAATTCTAACGATTTGATTGGATAACCGATGACCTCTCAATTAGGTCACATTCTGACGTAACTATTTTTTCATTCATAACAAACACGTGAATTCATTCATTCTACAACTTAAATGCATTGTGGGAATGTAAACATTGCGAACGTTGCCGTGTCGCTGTTTAATTGTGAGTCGAACTGAGACATTATATCCGTCGAAAAACATAAACGCAATGTTTGCACCAGTGATGTTAGCCGAATGAAGCAACTGGAAACCAAGAAACGAGGTGCAACGGAGTAGTTTACTGTAGGAGGCTGTACGAGGCGATGACAACTGACATGCATCGTGATGTCAGTTACCATGGCAATGACGTCATTAGTGTGACGTCATGCAAATATTGTACTACAGTACAAAACTCATCCGCAACCTCTTTATGAAACCGGTTTCGGTTTGAAACCAAAAAACATAACAAAAATACGCTATTTTGTCAATTTAAATGCATGTAAGACGTGGGTAATAAATAAAATACCACACTCGGTCTCATTACATACGAATTATACGAAACTCGTGACCTTCCTATGTTATCTGACCTCGCTTTCGCTCGGTCAGATACCATAGGAAGGACACTCGTTTCGTATAATTCGTATGTAATGAGACCTCGTGTAGTATTCTCTATGTACCTTATGAGAGACTAGTGTGAGTGGTGGGGCTTGGAATATACTTAATTTATAACACGAAGTAAATGGTTTAAATGAGAAAAGCCTAAAACTGGCCCTTGAAACTTTGAGTGAGTTACGTTTTACGCCGCACTCAGCAATATTCCAGCTATATGGCGGCGGTCTGTAAATAATCGAATGTGTACCACACAATCCAGTGATCAACAACATGAGCATCGATCTTCGCATAGAAACTTGGAGCAGGCAGACCAAGAAGCGTAATCCCAAACGATCGATCGGTACATCGTTACAGCACGTCGACCTAGCTATTCAAGACATTAGGGTCTTTTAGCTGCTTTTAGCAATATTCCGGCAATATCACCGCTTGAGGACACCAGAGATGGGCTTCAAAGTTCACACATTGTACCCATATGGGGAATCGAACCCATATAGGGAATCTTGGCGTAACAAGCGAACGCTTCAACCACTAGGCTACCCGACTTCCCCTATCCGCTGTGATGTACGTGGAAGAATGGGTTTGATGGGTTTTACGCCGATTGTAGCTTAATTCCAGCAACATCAAGACGAAGGTACCAGGATAGCGCTTTACACATTGGACACACGTGGATAACAAACTCGGAACGTCGGCTTGACCAACGACCGCTTTAACCACTGAGCTACCCCACTGTCTTTAAGATATAGGGGCATTATCTATGATCGATGACATAAACAGCAAGAAAACACAGACGTCGCCAGGATGTGATCTGTACCCGAGAGCCCTGGAGGATACACGTCAAGTGTTTCATTTACTTCGAACTTGAAAGTGCAATTTACAGCGCTCCGGTGGTGCCTCAGAGATAGTCATAAATTAAGCGAGATAATATATTGACGTGGATCCGGTGCTTCTGGAGAACTTTAAGATACATCAACAAAAAAGAGGTATTTACTTTCGTCAAGCAGGACGGCCTCAGAGTTCCGATTTACATTGTAGACATGGCCGAAAGGTAGCCATTTCAAAAATAACTAAGCCGTACATCTATGTAGCGATGTTGAAATGCAGTGTTGAGTGAGTGAGTGAGTGAGTGAGTGACGCCCCATAGGCAACTGGTCATCAACTTGCTACGACAGTCTACTAATATAGTATGAATGGTTCTTAACTTCCTATACTTCGTCGATTAGTGTTTTGTTTTAGGAAAACGAATGGGTGGCTTAATATTGCTTAACACAGCATTAGCATTTTGCAACTACTGAGGCTAAGAGAAGAGTATTAAGACTCAACAAGTTATTAAACATCGGAGATCTAATCACCATCACAACTTCGTTTGGAAGCGACATCACAACTATCAGTCCTATATCTCTCTTGCGAGTTATTCAGTTGAGCGTCTACATGTATTTTGGGGTTCGAGTCGGGATATAAACGAACCAGTTGTCACTAGCATGACAATGGAAACATAAGATTTGGATATAATGGATATTTGAATAGTGCCCGAATTCAAAGACTGCTATTTGCATCTTTACTATTGTACATGATGTTCTTTACACTCAAATTACTTACCTACAACACTATGTGAGGTGAGGTGTGGCGAAATAGGTTGTAACGTCGCGTTTAAGAATTTTGCACGTATTCGGCAATGTGTGTGTGTGTGTGTGTATGTGCGTGCGTGTGTGTGTATGTGGTCCATGCTTTATATATTGGCTCCAAGCAGGTTTTTCTTTGTTTTATTCCTTACCAGTCAGGTAAAAAAAGCAATTTCTTAACGTTAAATAGGGTTGGCCCGTTGATCGAACCACCGCCCTTCTGCTCTCAGGACAGGCGCAACCGCCTCCGTGGTGTAGTGGTTAGAGCGTCCGCTCGGAGAGCGGAAGGTCGCGGGTTCGATCCCCGACCGCGTCATACCAAAAAGACGTTAAAATATGGTACTTGTTGGTCCCTGCCTGGCGCTCGGCATAAATGGGTACAACAAGGACTGGTCGACTTGGAGTCGGTATAATGTGTCTGGGTTGGGTATTCATGCTAAGTCTGGGCTAGTACAAGCAGCCACACCTACACATACACACGCATGCACGTCGTCAAATGAGCGAAATATTCTCAAGCACGACGTTAAATCCAATTCCCCCACCACCAAAGGACAGACGCAAGGCCACGGAGGCGGTCAAGACATGTATATCTCATGTAGCTGTATACTACAAAATTTGAAAAGTTTATATCACTACGCGTGTCTAAAATCCTTTCCCATAACCCTTGTTTACAAATAATCATGTCGTTCTTGTTAACAATTTATGATTTGATTACTTTAAAAATGGGAGCCTCATACTGACTTACACAGAGATAAGCAAAGGAAAACAAGCTGAATTATTATGTTGACACTTGTCAATATATCGTTATATAAATAGAGGTGTGCAGCAGGGTTGCGTCATACACCCAGTCATTTTCCTGCAGCCTGACTACAAAAAGCACCTTTTCAACATGTTGAAGACTGTTCTCCTGGCTGCTGCAGTGATACTCATGGGTAGGTTGATGCATGTCTTAATCATTTTGATTATAAATTTGGCCAATGTTTAGTTGCAACGAAATGCAAACTGTGGATGTAACGTCATTGCTCGCCATCTCCCATAGTTACGGGGTTTAAAAGACATATAGTTAGTGAAAAATCACCTATCCGATAGTCCGATGTTGAAAACCCGATTTCTTTATAAACAGGACTTTTTTTCAACCGTGAGAAACTTTAAAATATCCACAACAATAACATTGCCTGTCTGATAATTATCATTATTATAATTATAGTTATAGTGTGTTGTATTCGGCAGTCCCCGATAATATTCGTATCTACATAAAATCATCAGATATGCTTGCCTCAGTCTCCTGTTTCTGTTCTCGGATCGTTACTTTTTCGTGAGATTTCTGTGGACTTATTCTTTCCCCGATCATGTTCTTCTGTGGTCTACGTGTGCGTAGTATCAGGATAACAAATGATGAAAAACTATATTAATGATTGAACAGGGAATTAAAAAACGAGCTTCAGTAGGGTTAATAAACTATATCTGTCTGTCTATAAACTATATCTGTCTTCAAGTTTACCGTAATGAAAGCCAATAATAAAAATACTTTATTGACCTTTTTGTAATGGGTTATTGTGATACGACATTGACTTTTGTTATCAACTTCCTCTCATATCTGGCCACGCACAAATCCGCCATTAATGTCTTCCCACGTCAATTACCTCCCGTGAACCATGTCGTCATAGTACACGTTATATTTGACCGTCCACAGTTGATGCTGCTGACGACTGTCTGAGGCCTTGCCTGATGATGTACAGCCCTGTCTGTGCGACGTTCACCAAAACCTATGGGAATGAATGTATGATGAAGGCTGACGCCTGCAGGTGAGCTACCGTAGCGAGTTGTTCGTGTCAGCTGTGTTATACTGTTGATGATAATTGGCAACACTGGGGGTAGCCGGATGGTCTAGGGCACCTCAATTCGCTATGTAGGTTCGAATATGGGTTGGCCCAGATTATCTTGCATATATACTCTTGTTTGTGGGTTTCAGCAGTGGTAAACGTCAAAGAACTGCATCACCTATCCCTCATCAAGCTCAGTAGAACCCTGAGCTATGTGGTTGAATGTCGGTTGCAGATAGTAAGTGTGTGAGTGAGTTTAGTTTTACGCCGCTTTTAGCATTATTCCAGCAATATCACGGCGAGGGACAGGCACCAGAAATGGCCTTCACATAGTGAACCCATGTGGGGAATCGAACCCTGGTTTTCGGCGTGACAAGCGAACGTTTTAACCACTAGGTTACCCCACCGCCACCAGTTGCAGATGGACAAGCCAAACAACACAGTCGTGACACTGAAAGGGTTAATATAACTGAGGAAAACCTTCAACGCAAATACAACTGGGATGAAGCATCACTGACATGGACATGATTGACTTTGGTGATCGAGTGGGCTCCTCTCAGTGAGAGAGGCCTTTGTCATGGGCTGTGTACATTGGGGAAGCAGTGTATCTGACAGAAAAAACATGTGATAAAGTGACACTCACACCATCAAATTTATTGTCTATGTATATTTTCAGCCTGGCAAAGAAAATTCACCCCAAAAAAGAAAGAGTGAAGGTTGCAGGTGTTCACCCCCTCGCACACCCTTTCCTCTCCATCCCGATTGACGTACGGGGATCCAGTAGATTGATAGTTCTGCGTGAGAGGCTACTTTCATGGGCTGCAGACATGATAAAGCTTAGTAATAAAGCTAACTGACTCGTTTCACACAGAATGTCGACAATTACGCTGAACCACCTTATATGTATATGTTTGTGTGTGTATTTTCAGCCTGGCAAAGCAAGGCGTCCATCTTATGACTAAGACGGACACCGTGTGCAGCTGTGAAAGGGCGTGTCCTTTCCTCCTCAGCCCCGTATGTGCCACGGACGGCATCACATACGACAACGAGTGCCTGATGGGCGTGGCAGCATGCAAGTGAGTAGTGCAAGAGATTACCGTACTGATGCAATAATGGCATGCCGTTGATGGACAATGAACGTACAAATGGATTCGTTGTCTGAAGTTACATGTTCAATTACAATCAAAGTGCCATACCGGCTGCTCGTTTCAGTTAATCTGTTTCTGTACCCAACCAACCACTCATTGCTTAAGAGCACGCGGTGCAGATTTACCTCCCTTGTTCGTGCCAGAAACCCATGCTCGTGGGTTTGAATCCCACATTCGCCCAGATAGTATTTCTATGTCTCGACAACCATACCAGGCAGTGCTCGTTTGTTTGACTTCAAGATTCGCTCTCATGGTATTTCCATTTCTGTCGAGAACCATACCAGTGTTCGTGGGTTTGGTCAAACTCATTACCATCCAATACCTGCATCACGACGTGCTTTCCTCGTGGAGAGTTAGAAATGATCTGTAGCAACCTATGCTTGTTAGTGGTGACTAGCGGGATAGGGTGGTCAGGCACGGGGCGGTGTGAATGATGCCAGTCCTTTCACGATTAGCAGCAGGCTTATATACTTCCCATCAAAAGATATATATACCCGTGAAGGTCCGGGTTCGAATGAATCTTCAGTAACCCATGCTTGTCGTAAGAGGCGACGAACGGAATCGGGTGGTCAGGCTCTCTGACTTGGTTGACATATGTCATCGGTTCCCAATTGCGCAGATCGATGCTCATGCTGTTAATCACTGGAGTGTCTGGTCCAGACTCGATTATTTACAGACCGCCGCCATATAGCTGGAATATTGCTGAGTGCGGCGTAAAACTAAACTCACTCACGCAGTATATATATGGTTACATCGAAGATTGATTTGTCCACAACTTGGAGGAACCAACTGCATCAATTTGCTGAAAAACATGTACAAATATCGTGCATGTGAACAGCTGCGTTTTGGTGTAAAGTTTTGTTAAGAATTCGCCATTTTCACTGCTTTTTATCATTTATTGAACTCACGACAATAATCTGTTCAACGTTCTGAATTTGTTTTACAATACATCAGTTCATGTGTTAAACATACCTTTTATACAGTATCTAATATTTTGCAAAATTTTGTTTAGAATAGTTGCCTGAAGTAATTGGCTATATTTATACGAGTGAGTCTAAATTTTTGATGGGAAGTATATACATGTATAGCTTGAATAGATCTAAGTGCTGCTTAGAAGCAAACTGTATATATTGTGGTATCAGCGTAGTGCTGAATTATTATTATCGGGGCGCAAGTAGACACTGGCTTGATTAGAGTTACACCCCTTAGTCTCCAGGATCCGCTCATCGTGGGCTCGAATACAAGATACGCCTCGATTATCATCCACAATTTGATAGCACCGTGCTGTACACAGGTTGGGCTTTGCTCACTCACACACGTCACATGCCGTGAGACAAAACTAGTGTTAACAGTTCCAATTTGAAGAATGCTCTCTCAGTAGTATTTGTGTTATACCTGTCTCAATATCTACTATTTCAGACAGAACAAGTGGTTGGAGGTCAAGAGCTCTGGTCAGTGTCCCGCCGAGAACTAAAGAGAGAGGTCCTATCAGATTGTTGTTGATGCATAATGGGATTATATAACTATTTGGTTCAAAGTAAGAGGAAAGTTCTAGATAATCAGTAATTTTAATAATACGGTACTTGTTGTTTCTCAATGCTTAACATATTTTGTACATTTTAAATACCAATAAATGTTGAATGACATTATCTTAAAGTTTTTATAAAATGCGATGGTTTCGAATGGTTTCCAAAAGGTCGGTGCTTGAGTTCGGACTAAAGTCGAAATGAGTTATCGTCCACAGAGACAAACACAATAACACGATCCTCTTACACGGCTCATATCGCCACCAACTGGACGGACATCACCTAATGTGAACATCGCAGGAGTCGATTTTAAACCCAAGTTGTCGCTTGCTACTTTCTTGTCAAAATACAAGTTTTGATCCTTCCTTTTGAAACGGTTGTGACAGCGACTATGTATGTTTCAGTGCTTTGGACTGAGTACATAATGGTGGGAGTAGGCATATTTTACTGACGCTTCTTTTGCTTTCAACGCCCAGTGATCGAAAGGGAAGACAGTTGAATAATATTGTGCAGGGCGTAGGGCGTAGCTGGAACGTGAATGACGTCTTAAACAACAAACCAAATCTACTGTGTTGTGTTACAGCTGTGCTGCTACTGTGATTATATTTACCAATCTACACATGACTTTTTCAAGATGAAACCATACCTACCGTTACCATAACTACAATTGCATTCTGATTTTCAATACTTATCATAAAATAGCCCCCCCTCCTGCCCCCGATCTGAAAACCGTTCCTACGCCCCTATTGTGTGTTATCAATTCTATGATTTGGATTCTTGTACCACCACTCAATGACAACACAATGACGTGACTCCGTACAGCGAATTAGCCTACTTTGGCACCCTGCTCATTTGTGCGTTATGAGATCGATACCGCAGCTCAGGTGAATCGCCATTATTGAGGTGCATGTGAAAAGCGCAGTGCAATTTAACCACCTGTACAGTTCTAGACTCAATACTCAATCGTACTAAAAATACTGGAGTTATACTGGTTGACACGTCACTGTGCAGTCATACTACATTCTCAGGGCCATGGGAGTACACAGCCCTGCTGTCTCCTGTTGATGGATGTTTTTACTAAAATAAACTTAACTGATTAATCTGTGAATTATTTTGTATGTGTTTGACCTTACATAAATACATAACCAAACATAATAAGTATTGACATTACTCATTAGACCTAACTATCTGATTGTAAAGAATCTGTTCACTCAGCAGTGAGTGGGTACCAGGTAGGATGAGATGCTTATGTGACTGATAACATCATGTGCAGATTGGCACTTTGAATATAATCAGCAGTAGCAGCAACAGCTGTAACAGCAGCAGCAACAGCAGTAGATTTGGTTTGTTGTTTAAGACGTCATTCAGCAATATTCAAGCTATATGGCGGTGGTCTGTAAATAATCGAGTCATGAGACTCTGGACCAAACAATCCAGTGATCAGCAGCATGAAAATTGATATACGCAATTGCATGCGATGACATGTGTCAACCAAGTCAGCGAGCCTGACCATCAAATCCCAGTAGTCGCCTCTTACCACAAGCATGGGCTGCTGAAGACCAATTCTAACCTGGATCTTCACAGGTGTGAGATATTTCTGTTACTTATTACCTCAAGCGCAGACTGGCACTTTGAACCTTATCAGCAGTAGCAGTAGTAGCAGCAGCAGTAGTAGTAGAAACAGCAGTAGAAGCAGTAACAACATACTATATACTCAGCTGGCCTATCTGTACTGACAACATGACCTAATAATTTATTTTGGGTATATGTGTCAGGTCACAGCTGATCCTCGGAGACACCACACCTACCATTATTACAAGTCTTAATAACATATGAACTGACAATGAAGAATTATTTTTGGTGTAATTGGCACAGGATTGTAGCAGCTGTCTTTAAAGCCCAAGGTAAAATGGTGTACACTGGCTATAAATACATGCATCTCCTCCTACTGGTCCTATTTATCATGGATTTCAGGGACTTGTTGGAGTTGGTAATGCCTGGAGCTGAGTGTTGATAGTTCCATGATATATGCTACTGATGTAACATGATATATGTTTCCCTCTGGGCTTTCTTTCAAGGGGAAGTAATATCCTAGGTTAAAATGTCAAGTGGAATTTTTTTCCAAGGATACTAATTCCAAAGGCAGTTTCCATGAAAAGTTTTCTCATATGAACCTTCTTATCTGCAGTATCTGTTTTAACTTCAAACATTCCTCTTTTGCTCTAATGTTGATTGGTTGGTTGTTTAACGCTGCACCCTGCAATATTCCACCTATATGACAGCATTCTGTAAATAATCGAATCTGGACCAGTCAATCCAGTGATCAACATCAAGAGCATTGATTTACGCAACTGGGATACAATAACATGTGTCCACAAAGTCAGCGAGCCTGAATAACCGACCACCTATTACAACAAGCATGAGCTACTGAAGACCAATTCTAACCCGGATCTTCAGGGGTCTTTTACTCTAACGCTATGCTGTTGTCACAGTGTTACTGCTTTCCTTGAAATAACGAAACATGAAAATCATGGGCCAATATTTATTTACTATTTACAACATGTACAAAAATCAAGCTGTGAGTTATCGCTTTCTGACAGGCTTCCATCGGTATTGAGCAGGTGCAGTCTTTGTCTCGTCCTTGACCTTCTCCTTCTTAGCTTCCTTGTCCTGAAATGAGAGAAAAATGAAAGTCTCCAAACAAAGATTTACTTGAAAACATATTTTAAAGTAAACAATGAAATAAATGTAAAAAGAATCATTTCTTGAGTTGCAAATGAAAAAATGTTTCGAGAATTTCTGAGGATAAATTCTCACTGAAACACAGCTTTTAGACATATCGCGCTGATGGACAAACAATATATTAATTGTTCTCAAATAGTGTACCGGTACATCCAGATCTCAAACCCAAGACCAGTGAATTCTGGTAAAGCTAAGGGAAGCAACTCTGTACAGGGAAATAGGGCATCTTAGACCACAGGACAACTTAAATACCCCAATATTCAATTACCAAGTGCTGATTATCAAAATACATGGCTTTATGGCTTTTGAGTCTTGTTCAACTATATTAACTGTGCAACAGCTTTGTAACAAACTCTTGTGTATCATGATGACTGCTATCAACAGGTAGTATGTTGTGCTGTGTCTGATCAACTGACCATTAGATGTATCTTGGTCTCCATCTTGTCTGCCACGACACTCAGATCCCTCTCTCTCTCTATCCTCTTGCCCAACTCACTGTAGCGTTTGTGTGTTGCCACGGCGATGTCCTGGAAACAACCACAGTATCAACACATGGATGTGGAGAAGATGTGAACTACAGTACGTCTATACTACACACATGGGAAAAATCGCCACATCCCATATTATTCCCAGTATCAATGCGCTACCATTAATCATCGCGAAGGAACTTCAAGACCTCAAATCAACTTACTCTCTGGATAAACTGACCCTCAAGGAATAATTATAGTGCAGATATGAAAGAACAAAAACAATTCATAAAAAAAAATAAAAATAATGAACAAGAAAAAATTGTGTCCAGGAACACGGATGGCCCCGCTGACATTCATAAGACATATAAAGATCATTAATTGAACAAAATTCACGAACAAGTTCAATAAACATCCATGCAACTATGAGATGCACACCTATCGAGTCCCAATGAAACACATGTATAAGCTTAATCAATTCTGTTGAGCAGTTTTTGTGGAGAAGTGGATAGACTTAATCCCCCTATTTCACTATCATCAGAGTGAAATTCAACAAAATTTATCTAAGTTCAAATGTCTCTAAACATACAAAAAATTATAAAATACAAAAACAAAATATGAGATGCACACCTTTAGAGTCTCTATAAAAGACATATGTAAGCTAAATGAGTTTTGTGCAGTGGTTTTTGAGGAGAAGTGGATAAAGTACACCCCCTGTTGTATGGGACGAACTGGATGAATAGAACCAAATTCAACTAAGTTCAAACATCTGTAAAAGTGACAAAATTTAGAAATGGGATGAACAAGGTATGAGATGCACACCTTTAGAGTTCCAATGAAACACACGTAGAAGCTCAATCAATTCTGTTGAGCAGCTTTTGTGGAGAAGTGGATAGACATCATCCCCTACAACACTATATTCAGAGAGAAATTCAACAAAATTTATCTAAATTCAAACGGCATTAAAATTGGAAAAATAAATAAAATACAAAATCAAAATATGAGATGCACGCCTTTAGACTCCCTATAAAGCACATGTGTAATCTAAATGAATTCCATAAAGTAGTTTTTGAGGAGAAGTGGATAACGTACACCCCCTGTTGGATGGAACGAACACTGGCTGAATAGAACGAGATTCAACTAACTTCAAACATCTGTAAAAAGTGACAAAATTAAGAAATTGCATAAAAAATTATGAAATGCACACCTTTCAAGTCCCTACAAAAGACATGTAGAAGTTCATTCAATTCTGTTGAGCAGTTTTGTGGAGAAGTGGATAGACTTCATCCCCTATTACACTATCATCAGAGAGAAATTCAGCAAAATATACCTAAAGTTCAAATGTCTCTAAACATACAAAAATCTATAAAATACAGAAACCAAAATATGAGATGCACACCTTTAGAGTCCCTATAAAAAGACATATTTAAGCTAAATGAGTTTTTGTGCAGTGGTTTTGAGGAGAAGTGGATAAAAGTACACCCCTGTTGTATGGGACGAACTGGATGAATAGAACCAAATTCAACTAAGTTCAAACATCTGTAAAAGTGACAAAATTTAGAAATGGGATGAACAAGGTATGAGATGCACACCTTTAGAGTTCCAATGAAACACACGTAGAAGCTCAATCAATTCTGTTGAGCAGCTTTTGTGGAGAAGTGGATAGACATCACCCCTACAACACTATATTCAGAGAGAAATTCAACAAAATTTATCTAAATTCAAACGGCATTAAAATTGGAAAAATAAATAAAATACAAAATCAAAATATGAGATGCACGCCCTTTAGACTCCCCTTATAAAGCACATGTGTAATCTAAATGAATTCCATAAAGTAGTTTTTGAGGAGAAGTGGATAGCAATACACCCTTGTTGAATGGAACGAACACTGGCTGAATAGAACGAGATTCAACTAACTTCAAACATCTGTAAAAGTGACAAAATTAAGAAGTTGCATAAAAATTATGAAATGCACACCTTTAAAGTCCCTACAAAGGCATGTAGAAGTTCATTCAATTCTGTTGAGCAGTTTTTGTGGAGAAGTGGATAGACTTAATCCCTATTTCACTATCATCAGAGAGAAATTCAGGAAATTTATCTAAGTTCAAATGTCTCTAAACATACAAAAATTATAAAATACAAAAACCAAAATATGAGTTGCACACCTTTAGAGTCCCTATAAAAGACATATTTAAGCTAAATGAGTTTTGTGCAGTGGTTTTGAGGAGAAGTGGATAAAAGTACACCCCTGTTGTATGGGACGAACTGGATGAATAGAACCAAATTCAACTAAGTTCAAACATCTGTAGAAGTGACAAAATTTAGAAATGGGATGAACAAGGTATGAGATGCACACCTTTAGAGTTCCAATGAAACACGTAGAAGCTCAATCAATTCTGTTGAGCAGCTTTTGTGGAGAAGTGGATAGACATCATCCCTACAACACTATATTCAGAGAGAAATTCAACAAAATTTATCTAAATTCAAATGACATTAAAATTGGAAAAATAAATAAAATACAAAATCAAAATATGAGATGCACACCTTTAGAGTCCCTATAAAGCACATGTGTAATCTAAATGAATTCCATAAAGTAGTTTTTGAGGAGAAGTGGATAACGTACACCCCCTGTTGGATGGAACGAACAGGCTGAATAGAACAAAATTCAACTAAGTTCAAACATCTGTAAAAGTGACAAAATTAAGAAATTGCATAAAAAAATTATGAAATGCACACCTTTAGAGTCCCTACGAAAGACATGTAGAAGTTCATTCAATTCTGATGAGCAGTTTTTGTGGAGAAGTGGATAGACTTCATCCCCTACTACTCTATCATCATAGAGAAATTCAGCAAAATGTAATTAAGTTCAAATGTCTCTAAACTTACAAAAAAACAATAAAATACAAAAACAAAATATGAGATGCACACCATTAGAGTCCCAAGAAAGCCCATGTATAAGTTCATTGAATTCCACAGAGTGTATTTTGTGGAGAAGTGGATAGAGTACATTCCCCACACATATCCAAAATGAAGGCACTTTCATACAAAAAATAACATAATTATAACTGACTGACTGAGTTTGGTTTTAAGCCGCTTTTAGCAATATTCCAGCAACATCACGGCGGGGGACACCAGAAATGGGCTTCACACATTGTGCCCATGTGGGGATTCGAACCCGGGTCTTCGGCGTGACGAGTCAACGCTTTAACCATTAAGCTACCCCACCGCCCCAACATAATTATGAACAGACATAAAAATTATAGATGTTGCTTTTCCCATGTATAGTAGGACTAGTTGTTAAAACAACAATAGGTGTGGGTGTGGGTGTGGGTGTGGGTGTGGGTGTGGGTGTGGTGTAGGTGTGGGTGTGGTGTGGTGTGGTGTGGTGTGGTGTGGTGTGGTGTGGTGTGGTGTGGTGTGGTGTGGTGTGGTGTGGTGTGGGTGTGGGTGTGGTGTGGTGTGGGTGTGGTGTAGGTGTGGTGTGGGTGTGGTGTGGGTGTGGTGTGGTGTGGTGTGGTGTGGTGTGGTGTGGTGTGGTGTGGTGTGGTGTGGTGTGGTGTGGTGTGGTGTGGTGTGGTGTGGTGTGGTGTGGTGTGGTGTGGTGAGGTGAGGTGTGAGGTGAGGTGAGGTGAGGTGAGGTGAGGTGAGGTGAGGTGTTGTAGACAGTTGTGTTCAAACCCTATGATCCCCTAAACCATTCCCGATCGAACACTGAAGTGGGTAGAATATCAGTGGAATATACGCATGTCAAAAACATTCATTAGCTTTCTGAGGTAAATACCTGTGGGACTGAATAAAATCAACCACTATTGCTCCAAACTTTGAATGAATTTCTTTCCAGCGTCCATGTTAGTTTTTCTAACATAAATCTACAAGTTTAATAACACTCAAGATTTAACCACACCATGAGTTCTGTAGGCACGTCAATTCTATGTGTCCTCCCTAATCTTGTATGCATAAAGAGCGGAATAATGTGCATGTAGAAAAAATGGCCTAAAGTTTAACCCAAAAAGCATGATGTGAAACAACTTTGGAAGACAGCTACAATACAATTTACTGATCGTCATACACAATGACACTTCCTGGTCGCTCCAAGTGCTTTATACTGCAGTGTATTTAACAAGAAACAGTTATCAGTGCAAGCTCTTCAGTAAAACACAAATAAAATGAAAAACCAAAAACTGTTAAAAGAAAAAAGATTCCATTGTTTAAACTTGATTTTTAATTCTCCTTGTTTGCTACTTGCTTATGCAAATACCTCTTCACGTCGTAAATAAGCCATGACTCGATGTACTCTTGATACTCCTCAACATGATGTACGAAGTGCACACCTAGATAGAGGAAGCCAATATATTGAAATCAGTGATATACGAAACGGCAGTTATTCTTTCTAGTTGCATGAAGTTGAACTGCTCAAATCCTTTTTCCTTTGACAGTGAAGTCACGTAATGACGTACTGACTGACTGACGTACTGAGTGAGTGAGTGAGTGAGTGAGTGAGTGAGTGAGTGAGTGAGTGAGTGAGTGAGTGAGTGAGTGAGTGAGAGTGAGTGAGTGAGTGAGTGAGTGAGTGAGTGAGTGAGTGAGTGAGTGAGTTTAGTATTATGCTGCTTTTAGCAATATTCCAGCAATATCGCAGTGGGGGACACCAGAAATGGGTTTCACACATTGTACCCATGTGGGAAATCGAACCCGGGTCTTTGGCATTGCTAGCAAACACTTTAACCACTATGCTACCCCACCACCGCCGCCATTTACTGACTGAAGGATGGCAATGTTTCTTCCAATTTTCAACAGGTCACTGTCAAATGACACTGTACACTCACTGTGCACCAAGGTATGCTACAAAGTCATCATGGTCTCAGGTTTATATCCCTATTTTTAATTTGGGTTTTTTACTCAAGTATAACTTGTAGTACATTTGTGTGTCGTTCCCATGAGGGATTTGAAAGACACACTCTCTAGGCATTGGCCAGTTTACACTTGTTAAGAGGGGTACACAAAGTATGTGATCTGGACTACCAGTTGTCTACATCCCAGTTTGTGGGAACCTCGGTGGC